TTTGCTTTTCAGAAAAAATGCTTCTCCTTTGCTTTGTTTATGGTCTTGTACTTCGATTCTTGAAATTTTGCTTTGTATTGTAACTGCACATACACAAAAACCTAATTTGTATCATTATCCTGATGAACAAATAGTGGGGCACTGGATATCCACATTTTTTTTTGTTGATACATGCGCTTCACAATATAAAAAAGAAATGAAAAGTTTTCATTTCAAGTTCAAAACAAATGTGGAAGTGATTGTGCCAGCTGAATAGGCAGACAAAAGCTGCATCATACTTGTCAGGTTGAGAATAAAACTGGTTGGTGGGGAAAAGAACTTAATTGTCCTTAACCGTAACTAGTGAGCTGCAGTTTTAGAGCTAATATTTGGGCTTCGTGTTTTTGGCACTTATACTACCTCTGCTGTATTAAGTAGAAAATCCAAAACTTTTCCCCATTAATGACCATCAGCCCAGTAGTGATTTGAATCCACCATAACAATCAAGGAGGTTTCAGTATTTCTTTTCTGTTCATGAAGATAAACAGACTTAATGTGAACTGTCTTTCTGCTTCCTGGAACATGGATTTGAAAGGAAAAGGTTATCTTTCCTTTTAAGGAAACCCCTCCCATCCATCTCTGGTTGCCTTTGGTTAAGTATGGTTCAACTCCTTTTATTTATGTTAGTAGTAAACTTAACAACTGGTAAGACATGTGGAAACAGGACAACAATGTACATAACACTACCTTGTATCTAGATCATTTAGATATGATTTATCATTTAGAGAATATGTAAATATTGTTTTATTTCCCCTCCTAAATACGATGGGTATGTTGTGTCCATCTTCTAATGACCAAAAAGGTGTTTCATATAAGTCCAACTATACTTCCTTGTCACTGAAGATGTAACTTTCAGAAAAGCATACTGGATCAGCATAACAGTTCGTAGCACTCTATGTGACCCAGTTTAGCCAAAGCCTCTATCAGGGAGACAAACCTATCTCTTTTATAATGTTTTCTATTTATTCATGGTTCTGCCATTCAAACCGAGAGCTATGTAGAGTTACCTATCTACAGAGAGCTTTGTGATTTGCTCTTGTGAATCCCAGGATAATTTACTATTCCCCTATATTATCTGTTAATTATAGAGTTGGAAACTTTCCTCCCGTGGTTTCTTCTTCAGAGACAAACCATCAGTCCTTCTACTCCTCCAATATACATTTTAAGTAGATAGAGCCCTGAGCACATCCAGCTTGAGTCAGGTGCATTCTCAGGGGGGGTGGGACTGGACAGCAGCTAGGTCATCATCTTGTGTTCAATGGAATTTAGAAATAAAGTGTACTGTATAAAATAAGGATCTAAGCACTCTTACTCCAGCCCACTAACTCAAGGCTTCCAGGTAAGAATACTGATGAAACATTTGAGCTAGAGAGTAGTAGTAAATTAAAACCTGGAGTTCTAATGATAAATCTTATATAACACAATGTACAGGGAAGTGAGTGGTGTCCTCCCAAGAGCATATACAAATGGCTTGATAGGACTGCTCAACCCAATTTCTGGTGCAGTTATAGCTACTCTAGGACTTGAGGCAGTAATGGATCTTGACACAATGTCTAAGACATTTAGGGGGAAACCATTGCGTTCCTCTCATGCCTCCTGATCTGGAATGGGACACTCAGAACCACACACACCCTTTTAGAAAATTGGGTGCCACCTTGAATAGGTTGCCAAAGACAGGAATAGATTTACCCTATCAGGGTATCAATATCTTCTGCTCTGTTGGAATTGAGAGAAGTAGGTCTTCGCCTGCTACCCACTGTCACAGACAGGCATCCTTGTCTTGTAAGAGTCTATTAAAATTGAATGGAGAACTCATTCTTCCTGTGATAGTGATTTAACCAGCCATGGCAGTCAGCATTCTACCATGCATACTCCACTGATATTAACAGGAGGCATTTCTCTACCCATGTCTTCAGATATGCGGACTCTGAAGACACTTTGGTCAGTTTTTGCCTTTGAATTAAAAAGAATTTATTGTAATCTTGGAACCTTTTTCTGAAAATGATTTTAGGACCAGCCATACTGTTCCAATACAGTTGGCTGATCAGCTGTGTTCATAAAAACTACTGTTTCCACTGCTATGTGACTGTCCAGACATGTACTTTGTTCTACTCTGATAAGTGCATCCTGTAAAAATAATCTATATGCTATTGAAATTCTTTCCTATAACTTAACTGGGCAAAATGGTGCACCACAGGGCAAAATGTTTTCAGCTAAGGTACCTCAAATAGGCTAACTTACAAAATATGTTCCAAATATGGGTCCTGTAATGACCATGGAATTAAAATTTTGCAAATTGTATAAAACTTTTTATGATATAAAATTACCATAAAACAGTTTGACGTAATACAAAATTTCACAAAACATTTCCTGTGCTAAATGTTTGACTTTGCTATACAATTCAGCATGGGTTATTTTCAAGGTAGATACACCTTTGAATGTATCCCAACTTTTCCAGGAAGACAGTACATTAGAAGCTCTGTCACTGTTAAAGGCATTGAAGAATCTGGTAAGGAAATAATCTGAAAGTATGAGCCAGTCATGGTGTCCACTAGATGAAAAACTTGATACAAAGATAATGTCTCTTTGTAGTGGATGGGCAGGAAGTAAAATGAGAGATTGCTAGCAGGAAGAGAAGAGATAATTAAGACTCTGAACCAGACTTTGGAGAAAGAGAAGCCTAGCACACCGTGTTGGACTTGGCAACTTTAGATGAATTGAATACTTAATGGTTCTACAGCACATCCAAATCCATTGACTGGTAAAGAACTTCAGTGTGTGTCCCAAAGATTGCAAACAGATGGGGCTGGGGGGGGGAGATGTGTGAAGGGATTATGTTTCAGATGAAAACCGAGGACCTGCCAGCATGAGAAATTGCCCACCAAATGCAATTAATGCCCTTGCTTACATTGGGAGAAGGTTTTTAAGAAATAGCAATGATCTATATATAGTTGCAAAATTAAGCTATATTGCAAGTAATGAAAAAAAGTTGAAAATTATTCTGAAATATTGGAAAGGTATATAACAATAGCACTTAAGAATTATATATCGCTTCATAGTATTTTACAACCCCCAACAAGCTGGGTCATTTTACCGACCTCGGAAGGATGGAAGGCTGAGTCAACCTTGAGCTGTTGAAAATCAAACTACTGGCAGTCTGCAGAATTAGCCTGCAATACGCTGTACCACCACAAGATAATTGTTTTCGTTCCCATTTATCAGAAAAGCTGCAGGAAGGCAGAATGGGATGAACTATTGTTCAAAAAATTTAGCATAATATGGTTAAATGTTTCTTTCAGCAACATCATTTTCCTTATGTTATGTATATTATCCATAAAAGGAAAGATAGATTTGGGTGCTGAGAATCTGATCATTTCTTGAGATGATATTCCCTGCTTTATTTTAGAAGAAGCATCCAATCCCGGTAGACTGTCATCTAATGTCACTTAGCTCTCTGAGTGATATTCCATGTGTCTCATAGGCTAAACTAGCTGCTGATGGAAAAACTGCATTTATCTGCTTGCATAGGGTCCAGTGCTGCCCTACAGATGGGAATGAATTAATGAACAAAAGGAAGTTGACATAGTTGATTGTCTATAAAGAAAGGTTGCCTACACTGGAAGTCCTTGACTCTTGTGTCCACAATTAGGACTGGTATTGCCACTGTTAAGTCTGTATGGTCATAAAGCAAGATGTCACGTGACCACAACTATTTACAATGCAACCCTCTCCCTGCCTCCCCAGGAAGTCATTATTAACCAATTGTTAGTTGTTAAGTGAGTACTCACCCCAATCCAAGCCATTCTGGGTTTGGTCACCTCCAGCCCTGAGTTTCAACAAGTTAAGGAAGTGCCTCCAACACACACACACACACACCCCAGGCCACCTATCTCCCCTCCCATCCATACCCTTCCGAACACCCTGTACTCTGACCCGCAGAGCAGAAAGCAGCCCCAGAACTACACAGCTGCTTGCCATTTCCCAGGAAGCCTCAGCCACCCCAGCAAGCATTCATTTGCCCAGCTGCTAACTTACAAAATGCATCCAACGTGATCACAATTCAGAGGCTTGACAGCCCCACCCGCACTTATGATCACAGGGGTGCTTCAGCTCCCAGCCACCTAACTCGCCCATCTCTGGGCCAGCTTGCATTCCACTGCCTCTGCCAGCCCTGGGCTTCCCTATTACACTCCACTAGCCTTACACTCCACTCATCCTATTGCTTTGACTTCCACAACCTCGCAAGAAACCTGCATGCAATTTGAACTAGGCCATGAGGATGGCCTCAGGAAGAAAGGTTGGTATGCCCAGTAACTACTTTTGTGGAGGGCTAGGCTAGATGTGCCTCGTCAAGTAGCAAGAAGACAGCAAAGGTTAGCTGGGGGTTGCAGAGCATGGGGCTGGCTGAGTGCAAGGCTGCCAAAAAGGCAGAGATGGGGGGAGTTGAACAGGAGGCAGTTTCTTACCAAGGCTTGGAGATGGAAGGGACCAAGCTGGGAATGAGTTCTCACCTAACATCTGGTGAGATTTGGCTAACAGTGGTGACAGAGACTACCGGCATAGCCATCACTAAGTAATGTGGTCATATGACATTGCAGTGAATGATCGCATTGCTTAACAATGGAAATTCCAGTCCCACTTATCATAGCAACCTGAGGACTAGCTGTATTCAAGTTATGTAATATATCAGTCATTTGTATCTCTGCTTTACAACATTCTTCTATAGATTTATGATTGTCTCCTCCAGTGTGTTGATTTTCAAATAAATTCACTTTTTTCTCATGTTAACAAATAATTTAGAAATGGAATTATAAAAATAACAGATTTGAGTTAAATTCAGTAATTACTTGTTAGAGAAGATGTCACCTCTGAATTGCATGAAACAAACTTCAGAGTGTTGGGTATTGTTTAAGGGCATTTTTGTTTAAAAAAAAAACAAAGAAACATTTATGAGTCTCTAGAATGAATAAATTTATTGTCTTTACAAAAAATTGTCTAAAAATATGGGGATACAAAGAAACAAGGTATTTGCAGTCAGATGTCTGGTGATCAACAGCCAGTTTGAATAAGAAATATCCAAATGCACAAAAACAAAAGCTTTGTAACATATGTTAAAGCTTTTAACCAAAGAAAAATATTGTTTCAAGCATGTTGCAAGAGTTCAAGATTCTGTAGTTAACACTGATTCATTCTTATCACTGGAGATTGATAATACCACTTGTAATAGGAGATGCAGCATGATATGATCAAAAATCAATACACTGAATCATCGTTATAGGCAAATTATATATGAAACATTGTCTTAGTACTGCAGTGTCTAAGGCACTTTCTGTAAATGTCAATTCTTAGCTAGGACAAAAACAATACTAGCTAAATGCATTTCACCCAAGTGAAAGCTGAAAATGGGGAGAGGGTAGCTCCACTGGTGTGTTCATTTACAGGCAGTGTCCCTTTGCTACCTCTAGCAAATATATACCGATGGGAACCAAGAAAGCTGGCAAGAACTTCAGCTAGCACTCCTATCCCCAGCCTTTCAGGAAGAAAACAGTTGCTTCTGGGAGGTGTCATTCAACTTCCATGCTGAGGCTTTCCAACTTATATGGAATATTACTTCAGAAACAGAATCATCAGCATCCTATCCAGATCAACCGACTATTCATGATGTCCGGAGCAGGAAGACATCAGATTGCCAAAGTGGGAAAATGCCCGTTAAGTAGAACAAGCAGCTGGCTAGTTATAGTGTGAACTAAAGCTCCTTCAGGACATTTTCAAAGTCAGGTGACCTTGGGTCAGCCACAAGGTCTTGCAAATAAGTAGGGAAGAGAAAACCCACAGAAAGGGAGTGCCACTGCTAGGTAGCTATGCATGCATAGCAAAAAGGCATAGGCAGCTGCCAGAGTTTCTGCCTGGGACAGAGGGCAGACCCGCTTATCATTCAGTGCCTTAGAAAAATGGCTTTACAATGGATAAGTTGAAACAAAAAGCACTGAACAGAGATATTTTAATACATATAAGTAGTGGTACCTATATCCAAAAGTTTACAATATGGCAAAGCCAGACAGCAATAATGCTTTGACTGACCTGCAATACATGACCTAATGCTATGCCAGTTTTGCCTACGGCAGATCTAGCTGGCCACAAAGCAATTTGGTGGCCAGTTAAGTTCTCCTTTCAAACGTATGGAAAGAAGTCGCACTGTGGGGAATGTTGGCAGTTTAACATAGCGGGGACACTCTACTCGGTTTGGGCAGCTTGAGGTTCATTGATATCACTCCCCTTACTCTCTGCGTCATCGTCTGAAAGTTCCAGTGAAGCTCCTTCAATGTGCAGTTGGCGCCTTCCAGATCGGCTGGAGGAAAAGGTGATCGGGCCGCCTCTCCTGCAAGAGGATACAGTAAGTTACTGCCGCAACACAAAGTCCCCCCCCTCTTTTTTTAAAGGAGAAAAGCTCTGAAAAACTGCTGTAAAAATTGACCATACACTAAGCCAGTGGTGGCAAACCTATGGCACAGGTGCCAGAGGCAGCACCCAGAGCCCTCTCTGTGGGCACGCGTGCCGTCGCCCCAGTCCTAGGCCTTCCGCTGGGTTTTATAAAACCTTTTCGCTTTAAGCCTCCGCCGCCATGTGCAAAAAAAAAAAAAAAAGGTTCAATCAGTCAATTTCAACTTCTCGTGGGAAAAAAAAGATCTTGCAAAGTTGGAATTGATTGATTGAACTTTTTAGTCCCACCCAGTCTGCCGTTACCACTGCGGCCATGCCCACCCAATTGGCCATACCCAGCCAATGGGCCACACCCACCCAGCACTCGACGATGCATAAGTGGGTTTTGGGTTGCAGTTTGGGCACTCCGTCTCTAAAAGGTTCGCCATCACTGCGCTAAGCTCTCCTCAGCATAGATCGACCCTCTCCCCCAACTAGTTTTGTTATTAATCACAACCGTGTGCTCCTACATAAAGATCACAGCACTAGGGTAAGATGGAGCTAAAGCTACAAAATCTTCATCTGTGCTTATAAATAGCCAAGGACGTGTTATGTCACTTGGTGAGCAGCTAACGTCCAGCATATGGAACAACACAAGCTAATTAACAAAACTTTGGAAGCATGACACCCCCTTCTCATGAATGAAGGCGAATATACGTGTCCAAGGATAATGCTGCAGGATCCAATCTGGGTTGGTCTTCCGAGCTTCTGGTTTACTAACTAGCTATTTTAAGTCAAGTATTGAGAGAGGGGAGCAACTGGAAATGAGGATTAACCTAGCCTTTTGCGGCCATTCATTTCTGATTCATCTTTTTCTGAAGTTACACAGTGGTATACACCCAAACTCCTCTGCTCTTTCTTTTGCGTAACTCACCTTAGTCTATTCTTCAGAGTGCTGACCTCTCGGTTAAGGCCTTCGTTGGCTTCAGTAGCATCATCTAATTCACGCTGAAGTTTACGACGTGATGCATTAGCACGTGTGGCTTCCTCCTCTGCTTCTTCTAGCTGGCGCTTGAGCTGTTTCATCCTAGTGTTAGCTTTCTCCATCTAGAGAAGATCACCAAAACAAGGGATTAATGAATCACCGAATAATGTTCCACTACTTGTCATGCCATTTAACCAACTAAGTGGCCTGAACTCTTCAAGATTAGGAACTTTTTGATCTGTAATTTTCATGTCATGTTTTTAGGGATTTAAAGTGACTATTCTGATGACACGGGCTGGTCATTTAGTAATGGCAGGAAAAGTTACCTCCATTTCAGGTAATGTTTGGGAGGAGCTGCATATCAATTTGATACATTTCACTGTAATATCCACCTATAGCCAGATGGAAAAACATTCTGGTGTCTAACCTAGCTCCTTCACTTTTCAATAAAACTTACTAACAAGACTCTTGCTTCTGATAGAATTGGCTGCCAAGAATTTGACGCTAGCTTTCCTGCAATTTTTGTGGAAGAACCAAACTAAAAAAGTTATAGCCATGCATGCTTTTCCATGCACTATTACAAACAAACCAAACTCCATTTCTTTTCCAAATTCTCACTCCTGATCTGTGTTAGATCCATATGAATCAGGCCATTTCCACAGTTCTGGATCAGATGGCCTCAGGCCATGCCTTTAAAAGGTGCTTCAAATATAGCTTACTAAATATCTTTTTGCATAACGAGCAATGAAATGTAAGCTTTTTAGTAGCTATGGTTCTAAGCAGAGCAGGCAGCATCTGACCTGTTCCTTGTATTGGTCTGCATGTCGGCGTTCATCTTCCACCTGCATAAATACTTCCTTCAGCTTCTTCTCTGTGCGGCGTACTAGCTTATTGGCCGCTGCCCTCTCCCTAAATAAATTAACGAAAGCAGAAATAACACTTTTAAGAGTAATTAAGTTATCGGATTTCATGGCTATCCACAGAAAAGGTTTATGCTTAAATAATCCTTAAATATGAAAACAATAAATCTTATCTTTGGAGGGGGGGGAAGGGGTTGTGCAACTTTTTTGACCACAGGTATCTAATTATGCAGTCTCCTCTTATTTAATATTGATCTTTTCACTTTTCTACAAATACAGGTAGTCCCCGAGTTACGATTTAATGACCACAGCACTGAAAAAATGACTTATGACCATTTTTCATACTTACAACCATTGTAGCATCCCCCAGGATCACGTGATCAAAATTTGGATGCTTGGCAACTGTCACGTGATCCCCTTTTGCGACCTCCTGACAAGCAAAGTCAATGGAGAAGCAAGATACACCTAACAGTGTTATTAAATTAACAACTGCAGGGATTCACTTAAAAACTGTCTCACATAGCAACAGAAATTTTGGGCTCAATTGGGATCGTAAGTCGAGGACTACCTGTATTAATAAAGTTATATGGAAAAGCTTAAAAGAAGTCAGGATCAAAGTAACCCTTATATCAAACACCTATGTTCCCTGTTGGAAATTTGTTTTTAATTAATTTGTGGGAAGAGGAAGAAATCAGTGTTGATAGATAAAAGTATCTTCACAATTATGTCCCTCTGAAGTGAGAAAGAAAACAGCATGGAAGGACTTGTTCTAAGAAGATAATACATTTAAAAAAAAACTCATTGGTTTCCTATTTTAAGCAAAGAGGAGATAAAATCCACAATATATATTTCCACAAAAATAAAGGAACAAAAGTGATTTTAAGACTCTCAAAATTCTAATCCCATCATCAAAACTTTGACAACGTATCTGGTGAATCATCTAGCTTACTTAAAAAGGTGTTGAGCAGTAGAACCACATATATTTGTCCTAATCTGAACAAGTTACTTACTACAAATCATAGTTCCTTCTTCTGAAAGCACCCCTTTTTTGTAAACACTACTTACTTTGCCTCCTGCTCCAGCTGTTCTTCCAGTTGCCCAATCTTTGCTTCTAGTGCTGAAATGGTTGCCTTGAACTTGGATTTGACTGAGCCTTCCAACTCCTGAAGCTTAGCTTTCAACTCTTTGTTGTGCCGTTCTAACTGCTGGCGAGCATTCTCGCTCTTCTGGGCGGCGCTCCGCTCGGCAGCCAGCTCGGAATTCAACGTGTCGATCTTTAGGAAGACAGGCACAGTTATTTAGATATTATTGGCCCTTAACTGGAGAAACAAACAAGATGTTCGACCAAGACTTGCAACCAAAGAGAGCACCTGTAGAGTGGTTTTGCGGAAACGGTCATTGAGGAGCTCCATGTTGCTTTGCTCTTCCTCCAGTTCCTCTTCCAGTTGTGCGATTCGGGCTTCCAAGCGACGCTTCTCATCAAGCAAGGCAGACCTATAGAGACATGGAAGCAATAGAAGGAACTACACATTTAAGTCAGGAATTATCCCACTATAATCAATTCCTACACCGCAACAGGTATCAACATACATCATTTAGGGTCTGCGGTTGGTGAAATGTTCATCTAAGTCAACTTACTTTCCAGAGGCACTGTTGGCAATTTCATCAGCCAGCTCATCTCTCTCTTGCTCTGCATGTCGTCTGCCTCGTTCTGAAGCTGCAAGTTCCTGAAAAGATAGTTATTTGCATCTCAGAAACCTTGGCAAGAAAGGGCATTTTCAGGCATTTGATAGAGAGCTACCGTAGTATACTCAATAGCTCAAAATCCAATATAATTACTGACATAAGTGCACTCTTCTCCAGTGCTTAACTATCACAAACATCCTGTACAACTGGGGACTAGTTCCTTGAAAAATGATCCAATGTATTTTAACATGTATTATTATAATTCAACAGACTTTCTGCATGTTCCAAATTTTAAATATTCTTGTCTGAATTGTAGAAATATGTTCCTTTCCCCCCCCCCCCCAGAATTCTATCTTACAGAATAGGTACTCTAAGAATTGGCAATTTTTCCAGAATGAAGCACTTAACTTCATACCTCTTGAAGTTGAAGAATTTCTGCTTCGAGACCTTTGAGCTTCTTTTCATTTTCCTTTGACTGAGCAAAAATTTCATCTCGAGATGCGCGAGCCTCTTCTAGTTCACGTTGATAATCTTTCATTTGAGCCTGGAAGGTTTAAAAAAAAAAGGGTTTTCCCCCTGAATCTTGAGAAGCTAACTACATTGCCTCAGTCTAATCTATAACACCCAGAGTATAGTATCTATTATTATCACAAAGTATATTCACCTAATTTTTCCCTTTTATTAAAGAAAGATTGATAAATTCTGCAGAGAACATATTCATACATTTAGAGACGAGCTCCCTTGTCTTTTCAGATTTTAAGAGTTGCTTTGTTCACCTGAAGTTTGCGCAACTGCCTGATGGCTTCATCGCGGGCCTTATTTGCTGCCTCAATCTGAGCTTCCAAATCTTTCAAATCTGCTTCCATTTTCTTCTTGGATGCCACAGCCAAAGCCCGCTGCTTTCTTTCATCTTCCAATTCTGCTTCCAGTTCCCGGACCTACAAAATTAAGGACACATGGTAAGATAAAATTTCTGAATTCAAGATTAACCATTAGTTGAAATCAATTAAAATGAAGGATGAAGTTCCAGAAATATATCCCTGAACTTAACTGTGCAATTAAATATCAATTGTAAGTTCCTTGATGCTCTGTAAGAAACTGTATAAAAGGGTGGGGGGAAATAACATTTTAGGAATCTATATTACTTTTTAAGGAAAATAGCCTGCCAAAATAAAAACTTATTAAAATTGTATTTAAGCAAAACTATCAGCCATAATTGTTAACTTCATACTGAGGTCAATATAGCATGTTTGTTCATGATACACCTGCTTCCAAATTAAGACAATGAGGCCTTGTATCATCCTATTCATTCTTCAAAGAAAAACTAAATTTATGATCAATTATGCAAAAAACAAAACCCCTAGTCAAGCAATGATAATGGCTTAATAACATAACTGCAGTTAAAGTTTCTGAACTGTTTTGAGCCTATGAATGTAAAGGCATTGTTAAGGGCTATTCTAATTTCTCAGAATCAGAAGCTGAGGGGTCTAATCCATCAAATTGTTAACCTTAAGAACCAAAAGGCAATCAACTACTTGAGCTTGTGTACCTTGTGTACCTAGCCCAGGGGTCTTCAAACTCGGCCCTTTTATGACTCATGACTTCAACTCCCAGAATTCCTCAGCCAGCATGCCTGGCTGAGGAATTCTGGGAGTTGAAGTCCATGAGTCATAAAAGGACCAAGTTTGAAGACCCCTGGGCTTAGCCTTTTGAAGAGCAAGGATGACAGTGGTCCTAAATGATCCATGCCTGTGGCTGGGCTACTTAAGAACAGCTGCCAGAGAATGGACATCTGCTGGAAACAGTTCACCAACATTAGGCCTGTATTGTTGTATCCCTGCTTCATTCTCTGCTCCTAGCTGCTAAGCAATACTATCTAAGCTGACTTACAGTATTATTGGTGAATTCCTAAACTATTGCTGACCATGCCTGCCTTTCTTCTCTTTTCCTAAACCCCCACTACCCTTTCTTGCCCCATAGCTCGTCTCCTTTGGAATAACTGCATTGGATTCTGTGCTGCTGTACATGCTGCACCCAGCTAACACGGGCAACTTCCCATATATATTGCCTAAGATGCAACTCAACAATAAATTGAATATAACTCACTTTGTTCTATTTCTCAGGCTAGAACAGGATAGCTATGGCCAACACACTGTTTATTCAATTCAGTTCTGACTTGCTCAGAAAAAGAGTGCAGGTAGTATAAAGATTAAGGTTGATAAAAGGACTCTCAAGGCTACTTGCAGATGCCTGGACATTCTGAGGCTGAATAGAACACACCCACCTATTTCTGCGATGCAAAACTTCATACAGACTATAGAATCTATAGAATCTATATAGATATACAGAATCTCTAACTTATTTATTACTTTTCTGGACTATATTTCAAATTAGGGGTGTTCACATATAGCACTCAAACATATGCTAGATACCATGCTTCTAAGTGCCTCACAAGAATATCTTCTGCCAGATACCGTGCTTCTAAGTGCCTCACAAGATACACTCCCTTTGATTCTTCCATGGAACTTCTTTGGCATTAAAAGGGATTTGTCATACATCTGGCTGGGGAGCACATTTCACTTCAGAGATAGGCAAAATATTGTTGGCAAGCATCTCAAAAATGTATGCCCGCAGCTCTCTTAGAGATATCTCACTGTGTCACTGAAATTCATGTTTTAAGACCTATAATATGTGGCATATGTATGACACTCTCTTCTTCTTTTTAGGATGTTTTTTTTCTGGGTGTCTGATTTTTATAAAGAATGTTATGAGTTCTTTATTTTCTAGATCAAAACAATATAGCTTTTGAGCAGTTGCCAGCAGAAACTCTGTAGCAGAATGTGACTTGTAGATGAAACAGGAATCTCCACTTGTTTTACAAATTTAACTAAAATGAACATGTATTCATGAATTCATATTAAATTGTATGCATCTTAATTCACTTCAGATATAGATAACATGCTATATGATGCATTAAAGAAGATCTAGCAAATGTGTATATATCTGGTAGGATTTGAATGAAAACAGATTGTCACAAGCATCTAACAAGTATACATACAATATGAATGCATATAAAAAAATCAAGATTATATGCCATGCCATCCGTTCCATCTCATAGAATTTCTGATATAAATAGTTGCTCTCTCAGAAAGACTTTTGTAAAGGTGTCTCATCAAAATTGATTTCATGGACATTTATAATTATCAGAATTTCTAGTCAGTTAAGATTTAAGACAAATTAAGATATGCAACCATTTGTTTTTCTTCAAAAGTGGATAAAATAACAGGTGAACTGCGAAAGTTTGGAATCTGGAGGTTTTAATTATTGCTTGTTCAAAGGAATGGACTAATGATACGTATACATGGGAAACATGACTGAATACAAATGTTAAACTACATGTTGGTAACAGGGGAACTTTTGCTTCTAAAAATTAGTAGATAAAAGACAATTTTAAGTTTAACAAAACCCTAGTGATGATTCAACAAATCAGAAGGGTTCATATGGTTCACCTGAGCCTCCGATCAACACCAAATTTATACTTTACTACTTAAAGCCTTACTTGTTTTACTAAGAGTCTCTTCTTCTCCTCATTCTGCTCATCCCTTGCTTGAAGATCCCTCTCAAACTGTGCTTTCATGGCTTGCATGTTCACTTCCAGGCGCAGTTTGGCATCTTCGGTGGCTTGCAGCTCATCCTCTAGTTCTTCTAACTGTGTTCGCATTTCTTCCACTTGCTGCTCCAATGTACGCTTGGATTTTTCCAACTCATGAACCTACAAAGTAAAACATATCCACCTTTGACATTACCTTGATAATGGCAACAGAATCGATGCAAACGAGAGAGAAAATCCTACAAATCCTACTCCTAACAATTACAAATTGCATAAGTTTACTCGGGATGAAATGCAACGCAGCTACTAAATCACACACACAAATGCTTTACAATGGTCCCTGTTGCATTTCTCGGCCTTCAGGGAGCACACACACACAAAACACTCACATGGAAAAGAATCTGGCGGCTCTATGAATAAAGTGAAAGACAAAAAATGTCAAATGCACACATGTGCTTAACATCAAGACAAACACTTCGGCTGTAAGCAGTTTACAATGCAGGTGGTTATTGACACCCGTTCAGACACCTTTTATTTTCAACACTTCAAACTCCAGATTCACATATGCTATTAAAGTAATTTCCCCCTCCCCCAAAGCTTCAATATTATTTCTAATACTGCAAACCATAATTAGACAACTCACATTTTTGCCGACATCATCTTTGGAGCTCATCAGGTCCTCCATTTCTGTTCTGAGTTGCTTGTTTTGTCTCTCAAACTCTTCCTTAGCCTCCAGAGCCTCCTCCAGGGCTCGTGCCAGAGACAGTGCTTTGGTCTCTTTTTCTCGTGCCTCAGCTTCAGCACGGTCCCTTTCTTCCGCATAACGAGCAGATATATTCTTTTCTTCTGCCAGCATCTATTGATTCCAATAGGCCAAACATGAAAATTTGAAATACTTAACATATAGTCTTAATCCCATGGAAATCCAAGCTGTGGTAGTAGGTTGGTATTTTGGCTTTCAGCTGCACTAAGTCCTTTGCTTTGAGGCATCCACGCACAGAGTGGCACCTATTCTCAATCCACCATAATGGTCAAAGTTATCTCTGCTTTTATGAACAAAATATATCCATACTTCACAGGTGGATAATGAAAAGTACCCACCCTGGTAGATAGGTACATTACAGAAGTACACTTTTCATATTTGCAAATATGAAAAGCTGATCAGGAAATAATGAATTGTCACTTGTAACCTCCAGAAGAAAGCAACAAAATTTAAATAGTAGCATACCTGATCAAATTTCTTCTGCTTCTTCTCCAGGTTGGAAACAATTTGACGTTGATGATCAAGGTCCACCATTAAGTCGTCCAGTTCTTGTTGAAGGCGGTTTTTGGTTTTTTCCAACTTATCAAATGCCAATGCTTTTTCTTCTAAACGTTGGGTGAGAATTTCCATGTCCTTCAACAGTTTCTTCTTATTCTCCTCCAGCCCTTCAATAGTTCCTAGGTCATCATCAACCTTCTTTTTGGCATCAGCTAACTACAATACAAAAAATTTTAAATAATTTTTTTAAATAAAATTGGTAAACTAACTTTATGGCTGCAGAATACAGTCTAATTCACCCTAAGTGGTTGGTCCAGTAATCCATACCAAACCTCTACTACTAAACAGAAAACAAGAAAGTGTCTAGACTAGAATCATTCCTTTTAATATATAACTTTTCAAGAGGTGGAAAGATATATTTCAAAAGTCTATTTTCTTGATGTGATAAAGTACTCAAACATTCAGGTCCTTAAAGAACGTCTCAAATGATACAGATATACACACATTAGCTAAAATAGCATAGTCCCAAATTTACATTCAAATATATACTACATTACTGATGAGACAAGCTTTACTTCCCAAGGAAAGTTGCTCTATTTTTTGTTATCAACTGATAACCTTCAGCCAGGGTTCAACTTTATTATCCTGTGAAAATTCAAAAAGTAATTTGCCAACCCTATCAAAAGTTTACAGATGATTTGTGATTACTACTATATTGGAAAATAGTAAGAAACTACTAGGGAAAAGCAATTGCAATTTCAACTACTCTCACATAAGCCCAGGTCAGAATGAAACGCTATACAAAATGATACCTATGGTTTTGCCTGTCATGGCTTCTCACCTGAGACTGCAGAGTTATTACATGCTTTTCCAAAATCTTCCTTGCTTCTTCCTCTTCTTCCTGCTGCTCTTGCAGATTGTTCTTCTCTTCTTCCAACTGCCGAATCCTGCTACTCAAATTCAGTTTCTGGCGTGTCTCTTCTTGCAACAGTTCCTGTTACAGAAATAAAAATTGTACACACGTTTTACCACTTGGTCTGAAATAAGTTTGAACTTAGTCCACTACATCTATTTTTTCAATAGGATATTTGTTTGCTGTGAAGAGATCTTAAGCTGAGCAAGCACAGTTCATCCTGGTTGACCTAAAGACATTAAGTCATTCTACTATAATTTGATAATGATACATCATGCCAGATCTTAAAGCAGTTAATTAAAAGCTAGTACTAAATTTAGAAAGGTCAACTTGTCAAATAGAAAATGCCTCAGACATCAAGTTATTGTGAACAAACAATATGGTATTAATATGTTTAATAGTAGTAATCCCAGAAAAGATGAAAGAGCATCTTAAAATCAGCAAAATTGGTTACAATTTCACAGCGCAGCATCGGTGAATTAGCCATTATTATTACTTATTATTAGCCAAAGATTAAAAAACCTCAAAAGCAGGTTGAAAGTGTGAGCATAAAAGCGTCATACCAATCTCATGACACAAAGGAGCTTTTAGGTATCAGGAATTTTGTGATCAAATTATTGCAAAAAAACCCAAGGGGGGAACTTTTCCATGTGTACATTAGAAACATTATCCACTCCTCTTAAAAAAAGAGAGATAACAACCAGTAATTTCTTCCCTAGAATTTAAACTAAAATTAAGTAAGGTATTAATGTTAAGAAACCACCCAAATAGCAAAAGATTAATGAAAACCATGTTGGCAGACAAATCTGTGATGAAAACTATTGATCAAATGGAAGAAATTAACATGAAGCTAATTTATAAACATATATTTAGATACCTTGAAGATCTATTAAGGTATCCAAGGATAAAATATAAGTATTTTAAACACTACATCCCAAAATTGTAGATATACCTGGGTATCTTGTAGCTGAGAGTCTAAATTTGCAGCATCTTTGGCAAATTTTATGCCTTTTTTCTCTGCTTCTTCCAAGAGACTTGAAACATTGTCCAGTTCATTCTGAAATTCAAAGAATCTAGATATCACACCAATATTTAGCATGTAAGGATGAGTATTTTTTTTTAGAGATGTAAACAAAAACTCAAGATATCCACAGTAGTGTTATGGGGCTTTAACGAGATTTTGAAAATGCTGGCTATTGCTATTTAGTAATTTCTATAGTTATTTATATGGGACTCAACTTGAGAAAAAAGGAATGTTTGCAATTTTCAGTTTTTTCCCATGGTGTTTCTCAGTATTTAAATTCGCTGCATTGTTTTGACCCTTAAAAGAAGGACCAACAGATCTTTTTATGCTGCTATTTTATAATTATCCATTTGAAGGTACCCACTTTTTAAGCACATTTGCTTCAGATTCTGCAAGGTTTTCCATTCATAATTCACCACAAAATAGAATATTTTAATTATTCATATCATATTTAGAATGGAAGTATTCCAATTTAATTACAATAAACTGGATTTGACTGGTACACAGTATTGTAAGTACCTTCTGCATAACTGCTATTCATATATTCTATGAAGGTTACAGCTTCAAGCTTAGATTGGCAATGATTTTTCAAAAAAGAAAATCATACTAGGAAAAAATAATGTATTCCTTTGATATATTTATAGAAAAACCTAAAGGTTTTACAGAATTTTTTTTAAGTTCTCCTCCTATTGTTAGCTCATCAGTTATACGGATTTGTGTCTGCAGAGTTTCTTGCAATCATGACTTAATTCTGCAATATTTTTATTGGTACTATATTTGCTAATAAGAGTATATGATTAAAAGAGAACGCACCATTTGGGATAAATGCTATTCACAAAAGAGCACAATTAGCACTATTTATACATATTTTTAAATACTCCTTTATTTTAAAAGCCTGTACAAACAATCTCTATATCAAAAATGGTGTGTATTTTACACACATATTTTTATAATGTTAAAGTCAGATAACTGTATCAGCAGAATGCAACATTATTCTCACTCTAATTTATTGAAATGCTTTCTCAAAACTCCATTGCTGTTTATTTAGTGCAGGAAAGAAGCAGATTATGGCATATATTGAGAATATGGTCTACTATGGTGCTATTCCCAGTGTTAGAATCAAAGGATTTTGTTTGGCACTTCATTTGCTTTCAAGTTTCAAGAACCCTACTAAAAAAAAAAACACATTTTGAAGCCAAAAATCTGCATTAACTCTCCAATATTCCCAATGCAAAACTGTCACTAGCAGCCTGCATTCCCTTAATTCTGAAACTGCCACTTCAAATAAAACACTGTCATTTAAAATATATATGCAGTAATCAAACAAAATGATTTCAGAAGAATATGCACAGCAACATATTTTCCAATGAACTTTTAATAAGTTATTACATTATACCAGGGGTAAGCAACCTTGGCTCTTTTATGACTCGTGGACTTCAACTCCCAGAATTCCTGAGCCAGCCATGCTGGCTCAGGAATTCTGGGAGTTGAAGTCTACGAGTCATAAAAGAGCCAAGGTTGCCTACCCCTGCATTATACCAAAGAGTTGCAAATTTAAATCTTTACCTGAAGTTTGTTTGCTTTTTCTGCCAGTTCTGTCCTCAGCCTCTCTCCTTCTGTGACTTTGGCCTGCAGTTCCTGTACCAGACCATCTAGCTTCTTCCTCTTGTGTTCTGCCTCAGATCTAACCTGCTGCAAAACTTTCACCTCACAGGCCAGCTCTTTGTTATCTGTTTCCAAACACTGTTTGTTCTTTTCAAGATTTGCTTTGAACTAAAGAAGCAAGAAAGCCAGTTTAGTGCATTTCATCAGAGCTAATATCAGAAACATAATACGGCAACTAAACTACAACAAATTGCATTCAAAATGCCATATATTAAACTTTCACATATTCCGTTCTTGCATCTGTCACGGTTTTAGCTCTTTTTACGTATAGATTAAATAAGTTTTATGGGGCATTGCAACTTAAGTATAAATCTGTGCTAAGAAATGTCAGCAGAAAATTGTTAGTGCTTCAGGAGTTTTGAAATTTAAAATAGTTTTATGATTAAAGCTAGCACAATATAACACTTATAACAATATCCTAGAGTTTGAAAAGTTTGAAAACTATAGTGCAGCTTTTTCTCAATTAAGAAGTGCACCTAGACAGTTTAAATGTACTATATTCCGTATACTGTATATATTGTATTTTGAGTGTTTCACATTCCAAAAGATGTGAGGGGAAAAAAGTATATTTCAATTTAATATGATAAATCATGTGTTTCATTATTTTCTACTTTTCTTACATAAAAAAATCTATTTTAATAAGTTTCTAATTCAGAGTCTCTGGAGACTTCACTGGAAGCTTTCATGGGCTGAATGTAGCCCTGAGGCTTCCAGTTGTGCATCTCCAGTAATATATCTGATCAAAATTAGTTGTTGTTCACAATGACTATAAATCATTATTCAAATACAGGGTAGATTACAAAAAACTTTCCTTCAGATATATAATTTAGAGGCACAGTACAGGCTGCAAATAAATATGGAGGTCTATGGTGAAAAGTCATTTTGAAAGATTAATTGTAACTAGAAAAGTTTCAAATTTGAACTATTTCAAATTCAAAAGTGTCTGAAATACAATTTATGTTTAAAATTCAGAATTTTGAAAGTGCTTTTAAAACAAGAAGCAATCAAAGCAGTCTGCTTTGAACACAAAATGGGTCCTTCAAACTTGAAATGGCTTGAGTTTGAAGCACTCTGCTTACAGCTAGTTTTAAATTATGCTCTTTTTATACTGATGCCCTGTTTTGCTTCAGTAGATTTTCACACCTACATAAGATTCATGGGGATTTTCCCATTCATATGAACTTCCTCATGCTTAAGTGAATGTTCCACTCACTCTTTTGGCCTGTTCAAGCTGTTCTGAAAGCTCTTCCAAGGCTGTCGCATGCCTTTGTCTAATATCCTGAATTTGGGCTTCATGGTTCTTTGTTTCTTCCTCAAGGGCTTTCTTCAGTTCAGCAACTTCCTGCTCACGCTTTGTCCTAAGAGGCAGCCAGCAAGACAAAATTAGCTTTCAGCTTTCTATCATTTTTAAATGGAAAATAAAAATATAAACCACAGTAACATTCTGAATTAATACTAGAAAGAATCCAGTTTGGAAAAAAATATCTAGGTTTGGCTGTTTCACTATATTCCCTTCCCCAAGAGTTTCATTATAAGGGAGACACTTTTAAATACAATGTACCGTACTCATATTTTTCATTAATTTGAAGATACGTTTATCAGAAGTAAGGTATGAAGCAATCTAATTTTACTACAGATTAATGTTTTCAGCAATTTTTCTTCAACATGAATATTTTTAGACAAATGTAAACTAGTAATGCCGCTTTGATTAAGTGTAAATTTTAAGCAGTTTTTGCTTTGATTCCAATTTTCAAGAGGAAGCTAAAATTTTCAGTTTACCAAGACAGAACGTTGCTTGTTTTGGAAAATCCACTGCATCTCTCTTCACTAACCTGAGCTCTTGCTGAGCTGCAGTAGTATCCAAGGTGTCTTCCAACTCTGTCTTCAGTGCTTCTAACTCCTCACTCAGGTCTCTCTTCTGCTTCTCTGCCTTATTGCGGGAAGCCTTTTCTGATTCAAGGTCCTCTTGCAGCTCTGCAATTTGGGCTTGCAATTCTCGGATTAGTTTGAGTGCATTGTTTTTTTGCATCACTTCTTCATCCCCTCTGAAAGCAACACAGAGTTTAAAGATCACAGGGAAGTAAAGTGTGAAGTGAGTACAAAAAAGCTATCCTTGAAGTAGTGAGTGAGAAGAAACGTTCTAGGTATCCATGTTTTCACAAAAGTATTAGTTAGGATTGGTGATATGGGTGAAATCAAATCATCTTAACCTGGAATAATTTGTCACAGCACAATTGCCCAATCAATAATGAGTAACTAACAAATTAAAACAATTACACAATTAGCATAGTTGGATATACAATAGTAGACACCAGAAGACTCCTTTGTAAATTACAGAGTCTAGAATTATAGTCCTCAAAGCCCAATATCCTAAAGGCTGCAATAATTCTAAACACATCCAACATTTCAAAACAGTATTTCTGTTGTTTATATATTTAACATCTGCCATGCCTTGGTTATTTTTTCATGTAGCAATTTTATTTGAAACATATGTTGATATGATGCATCTGCTCCAAGAACAGTTCAATAATAGACTCACAAACTACATGGAAAAAGCATAATAATTAAAAATGAAGACAGATGATCTATGACATGTGCTTTGATTTCTATCATACCAGATATTGATTCAAGCCATAAGGATTCTGGTTTCAAGCTTCCAAAATAGCAAGATATGATAAAAGCAGAGTAACTTAAATAATTTTACTAAGAAAAATCCCAACTTCCTAGATTTTCAAAATTAGAATTATTCATAAGAGTGAAATGAAAGGGCTGCAGGAACTCTCTAGAACACTGTACCTTAATGACAGCTAATTGACAGCTGTTCCTTTTCCCAATTTTTTTAAAAGAGGAGGGAGCTGGAAAAGGCACAGGAAAAAAAGATGCTCCAGAAGATTCAGTTATAGGGTACAAGATTTAAGGGACTAGTAGGGGAAAGGGAAAGCAGAATATCCATTTAAATGGGATTTAACAAACCTCTTCTGCCCAATCCAACCCAACCAGAAGCAGCCCCACTAAAATTGAGCAATCGATTTCTCCCCCTAGATGGAAACACGCAGACCCACAACCTTCCCCTCAAAAACAAAACATGCAGACACCTAGCAAGGAAACAACTTCAAATATCCCTAAAAAAGTCACCTCAAACATCCCTAAAAAAGTCACATCAACAAACACACCAGAGATAAACAGAAAAGCACCCCAGACTGCAGCCCCCACAAAAAGAAGGCAAGTGTTGATAATAGGGAGAGTCTATCCTCAAAGGAACGGAATCATCCATCTGCAGACCGGACATACAATCCAGGGAGGTGTGTTGTCTCCCTACAGCAAAAATCAAAGATGTGGCTGAGAACCTAACCAAAATAATTAGGCCTACTGATTATTACCCCTTCCTCCTCCACATTGGGACCTGAGTACAATAGTGAGTGACTACAAACAACTAGGCAATAAAGTTAAGAAGCTAGGAGCACAAGTAGTGTTCTCATCCGTACTCCCAACAAAAGGCCAACAGCCATTGAGGGAAAAAAGAATTCTAGAAATAAACCACTGGCTAAAAGGGTTGGTGTCACCAAGAAAACTTTGGTTTCCTGGATCACAGACTGCATTTCCTTTGCAAAGGACTCTTGGCAAGTGATGGGCTGTACCTCACGAAAACAGGAAAAAATGTACTCAGAAAAAGACTGGCCCAACTCATCAGGAGGGCTTTAAACTAAAACTGAGGGGGAAGGGTGATCAATGTTCAGAATCTCTAGAACCCAAAACTAATCATAAATCCCAAAAAAACAAATCAAACAATGAGTGGGCAGAGATGAAAAAAAAAGAAAAACGCAAACAACATTCAGGAGGTGCAGGAAACATACCCATGCACAGGCACAAAAGCCTTAAATGCTTATATACAAATGCTCAAAGCTTGGAGAACAAACAGGGCGAACTAGAAGCAATAGTACACGAGGGAGGATATGACATAGTTAGTATTATAGAAACCTGGTGGGACAAAACCCATGAATAGAATGGACTGATGGATGGATACAAATTGTTCAAAAGAAACAGGTCTACAAAAAGAGGAGAGGGAGATGCACTATATGTAAAAGAACACTACATATCTACAGAAATACACATGATCAAAGATAAAATCTCTCCAGAATGTATGTGGGTCAATATAAAAGAGAAAAAAGTGACATTATCATAGGTGTATATTACAGGCCACCCAGCCAATTAAAAGAAGTAGATGAACTCTTTGTATCTAGGAAGCATACAATAGTGATGGGAGACTTCAACTATCCAGATATCAACTGGGAAGACAAACTCTGCAGCGAGCGGGAGATCAAACAGAATCCTAACCAACCTAGCTGACAACTTTGTCATCCAAAAGGTGGAGGAGGGAACTAGATATAAAGCCATACTGGACTTAATTCTAACTAATAGAAAAGAAGTGATAGAGGGAGTTGAAGTTGCTGGAACCTTGGGCGAAAGTGACCATGTCATACTGGAATTTAATATAACACAAACACTAGCAATAGAAAACAATCCAACCAGTGTCTTGAACTTCAAAAGAGCCGACTTTAACAAACTCAGAGAGAACCTAGGAAAGATCCCATGAATGAAAATCCTAAAGCGGAAAACAACCCAAGAAACGTGCGATCATAAAAGCCCAGACCAGCACAATACTACTGAAAAAGAAAAACAAGAAATTCAAGAAGAAACCAGCATGGCTGCATAAAGATCTCTCTTTCAAAATGAAAGACAAAAAGGACAAATACAAAAAAATGGAAAGAGGGGCACATAACTAAGGCCGATTATCAGCAGACAGCCAGAATATGCAAAGATGAAGTCAGGAAAGCAAAGGCTCAGAATGAACAAAGACTTGCAATAGAAATTATGGATAATAAAAAAAGTTTCTTCCAACATATTAACAACAAGAAAAAAGTCAAGGAAACTGTAGGTCCACTAAAGAGAGAAGATGGCAAGGAAATAACAGGCAACAGAGAGAAAGCAGAGCTGCTTAACTCATACTTTACATCAGTCTTCACACAAAAAGAAACCTTAGCCCAACATACCAAAAAAACCACTGCAAAAGACAAATTAGAAACAAAAATTAAAATAAGCAAGAAAATGGTACGAGAACACCTATCCGACCTTGACGAATATAAATCACTGGGGCCTGACAGATTACATCCTAGAGTTCTGAAGGAGCTGGCAGATGTTATCTCAGAACCACTGCACCACATCTTTAAAAAATCCTGGAGCACAGGTGAAGTACCTGAGGATTGGAAAAGGGCTGATGTGGTTCCCATCTTCAAGAAAGGGAGAAAAAAAAACAGACCTAGGAAACTACAGACCAATTAGTTTAACATCAATACCTGCGAAGATCCTAGAAAAGATAATCAAAGACCAGCAAAATACTGTGGACATAGCATACTTAAGACTTCAGTAAGACATTTGATAAAGTAGACCACAACCTACTCCTTGGTATGCTAGAAAAAGGTGGAATAGATAACATCACCACCAGATGGATCTATAGCTGGCTGGCAAACCAAAATCAATGAGTAGTCATCAACAGCACTACATCCACATGGAGAGAAGTAAGCAGTGGGGTACCACAAGGCCCAGTACTCTTCAATATCTTCATCAATGACTTAGATGAGGGAATTGAAGGGGAACTCATCAAATTTGCAGATGACACCAAACTGGCAGGAGTAGCCAACACCCCAGAAGACAAACTAAGGATCCAAAAAGATCTTGACAACTTGAACAATGGGCCCTATCTAACAAAATGAGTTTCAATGTGGAGAAAAGCACATTTTACACTTAGGCAGGAAAAATCAAGGTACAAGTACAGATTGGGCAAGACCTGGCTTAAAAACAGTAATTGTGAGAGGGACCTTGGAGTCCTGGTGGATGATCACTTAACCATGAGCCAGCAGTGTGCAGCAGCAGCCAAAAAAGCTAATACAATCCTGGGTTATATAAACAGAGGTATAGAATCAAGATCATGCGAGGTATTAGTACCACTTTATAAAACCATAGTAAGACCACACCTGGAATACTGCGGCCAATTTTGGTCACCATATCACACAAAAAGATGTTGAGAGTTTGGAAAAAATTCAGAGAAGAGCAACTAAGATGATCAAAGGCCTGGAGACTAAAACATATGAAGAACGGCTGCAGGACTTGGGTTTGGCTAGTCTAAAAAAAAGAAGAAATAGGGGAGACACGATAGCAGTATTCTAGTATTTGAGGGGCTGCCATAAAGAAGAGGGGGTCACGTTATTCACCAAAGCAACAGAGGGCAAGATAAGAAACAAGAATTGGAAACTGATCAAAGAGAGAAGCAACCTGGAATTAAGGAGAAACTTCCTGACAGTGAGGACAATTAACCAGTGGAATAGCTTGCTCCCAGAAATCGTGGGCACTCCATTACTGGAGATTTTTAAAAAGAGGCTAGACAGTTACTATCTAGACATGTCTGAGATGGTATAGGTTCTCCTGCTTGAGCAGGGGGCTGGACTAGAAGTCCTCCAAAGTCCCTTCCAGCTCTATTCTATTCTATTTTATTCTATTCTATTCTATTCTATTCTATTCTAATTCTATTCTAATTCTATTCTATTCTAGGCATGTTCATTTTATGTATTTTACATCTTTGAAATAAATGCTGAAAGTAAGAGGAATGCAGGTAACGAAATATTCAGAAATCTTAATCATGTCATCTAATACTGTTGAAATAATCAGCAAAGTTGTACAGGTAGTCCTCAACTTATGACCATAACTGGAATTGGAATTTCCATCATTAAGTGAATGACACAATTGTTAAGCAATTATGCATTGGGTGGTTTTTGCTGGGAATTGGCAAAGAAAGTCACAAAGCTGGATTACATGACTGTTGGAGACTGCAACTGTGATAAGTGTGAGCTGGTTGCCAAAAACCCAAATTGCAAACATGGGACAAGGGTCCTGCAACACTCATAAGTGTGAGTGTAGGTCATAAGTCACTTTTTCCAAGACCATAGTAACTTTGAACTCTCATCAAAAGAAGGGTCATGTATTGAGAAGTAACTATATGTAATGGAATTTTATTTATTTTATTTTATTTTACCTGGCAAGGGCAGCCTGCAGTTCTTCCTCTTTCTTGGCAAGTTGGATTTTTAATTCCTCTATTTGGGCCTGCAGTTCTGCAATTTGGTCTTGTAAATCAGTGGTTTCTCCATCAAGCTTCCTTTTTGCTTTTTCTAGCTCTTGGCGAGTCTTTTCTTCTTTTTTCAAGCGCTCTTTAAAGAAACAATAATGATATGGAGGATTTATTTACTAGATGTATATCCTGCTACAATCATAAAAGGTTCTTGATGGCATGCAACAGTAAACAAAACACAATATATCAAGAAGAAAAAATATTATAAACATTTTAAAAATCTCAAAACAATACATGATGTCAGACCCCAAATGACCTCTGGAAAAGCAGTTTTCAGTTTTTTTTCAAAAGGCAAATAATGCTAAGAAAAATAAACCTCCAGCAGGAGGCCATTTAAGAAGGCTAGCCCCCATCACATACAAAAAAAACAACAAAAAAAAACAGTGGTTCTGGGCTTTGCGCCCTATCTCTCCAAAATGGGGGACAACCAGCTCTTTCCCTCAACACAGTCTAAGCAATTGGGCCAGGTTATTAGGGAGGTATCCTGCAGGTAACCAAATGTGAAGAAAAGAACACACTGTACAAAAGAATGCAATATGTGAAGATAAACTTGCTAAAAATGAAGTAATCAAATAAATTGCTATTTTATAATTTAGAGACAGAGTAACATCAATTCCAAATGAAGAAGTTAATGCATGCTATCTTTCTTCAAAATGGTATCTTCCTAATAGTTACTGTATTACAACTACCACAACTGCAGATCATTGGTCATGATGGGATCATTGTTTAACAACCTAAAGCATACCCCATGGGGAATACCAGAGTATACATCTGGATTATCTAAGAGGAATTTTAAAAATCAATGCAGAGATTATCAAAATAGGTATTTTGTGGAATTTTTAGTGATAGTGATCCTTAAAGACAAGCTAATTCCATTTTCTCTTTTAAAATCCTATACATTTCTCTTCTCTTCAAAGCCCACCAAACTGGAATCAAAATGGTATCTCTAGATTCACTAGGTGGAATGCAGCAAATTAAAAAGGAAAGAAAATATCAATTAATTAATTTTGATTTTATAATACTAGGGCAGCCGTTTGGATTTCTACATGAGAGACCATGACATCCTGAACTATTAATCTCCAGAACTGGAAAGAGGAGGCTTTATTTCTTGAGACAGTTATTACTATCAAAACTACATCTTGATATAGCTGGCATGCAAAATTATATTCTAAAACAAACAACAATTTTGTTTTTCCTGCTATCTTTGATGAAACAGAATTTCACCCATTTCAAAAAATAATTGTTCAGTGGATCACATCCACTCATCTTAAATATTTCTGTTCTAAAATCATGCAGGAAGGGGATGAGAGTAAAACTTGAATATTTGGCATGCATACAGCACTGTACCTTCTAAGTACAATCTCAGTTTTTGAATCCAGTTTTATTTCCTCATGGTAGGCTGTTTTCAGTTAAACTTCCTATAAAGCACACAGTCTTTTTTACCACCCTAGGCTCCCATCTTTCTCTCCAAACACATACACATAAAAACAAGAAAACCATCTGCTAAATGTATAATACCTATTCTGTTTCTAGAGAAAAAACAGCTTACTTTTCCCTTGGAAATCTGCCCAGTCCTGACCCCAGGTCCTTCCTGCTTCTCCCACCTCCTGGCATATTTCCTTCTCCAATTTCCTAAGAGTGCAGCAGTTTCCGATCTGGTTTATTTTGTTTTCTTCAACACACTTTGACAGGTGACTGAAAAGTATTAGAGTATACTCATGCCTCGTTACCTTTCTCCTTTCCAATTAATGACAAGAAGAGCTTAGATAGGGCTACTTTGCTTTTTGGTCTTACAAGGTTGGTTGTTGTTTTTTATTTCCCTTTTTAAATTGGAGATTCAGGCCCCTGCCAGACATTTTGAAGTGTCTGGATGCAATGTGGTATCCATATGTTAGAGCACGGGTGTCAAACTCGATCGCGTCACGTGACTTATCATGACGTAGCATGACTTTTTTGCCTTTGTGGAACCAGGGTAGGCGTGGCCTGCGTGTGACGCATCCGGCCAGCAGGCTGCCAGTTTGACACCCCTGAGTTAGAGGATAGATATTCTTTACCTAATAAAGCCAAACATAGCATCATATTTGTGTTTAAATCACTGGATTTCAATAAGGGAATTCATTAAAGGAACTGAAATGGGAATGAGGAAAAGCCTACTTCTTATACCGCTACAGTAGAATCTGGAAGACAAGTTTTAGCATTCCTGATTTTGATTTTCTTGATGCCTCAAAAAAAATATGATCACATTCTGAAAAAATATTGGATTCCTTTCTTATTTTTATTTCCTATAAATTGGCAAGGGAATATAAGGTAGTTTATTCCTATCTTAAGGTCTTTCTATATTTTTGTATTTTTAGAAAGTATGGGCTCATGCCAGTTGTTGTTATTCAGTTTTAGCCTATTTGGCTGGAAATCCTAAATAGAAATATTTATGCAATTAAGTCATTTGCTCATAATTCTGGCCAACAGAATAACTATTCCCAAATTAGGGAACAAAAGTCCGTGAACACATAAAATTAATAGTTTAACTATTAAATTAGAATTCCAAGTTACATGTTACATGGCCAAAAATTGTGCATCTAAATCCAAGAGGGGGGGGGAGGGTGTTACGTGCATAGTTGATATGTAAATATTTGGAGATATATTTCTTCTCAGAACATGATTTATAGGATAGTGCCAAGAGCAGCAGGGAATTGTTATAAACAGTAGGACTAAGAAAAAGAACTCTATTCTATAATACATGAAGTTTTAATTTTTTCCTGATCTAGAAATATCTTAGCATCATTTTAGTATTTATCATAAATATAACCTATATGACATTTTTAAATTTGGAGAAGAACAGAGAAGGAGGTTATCACCAGGAGGTTATCAGGTAAATGAGGGCAGATATGATATTGTTGCCATTACGGAAACATGGTGGGATGAAACCAACAAATGGAACACACAGCTAGAAGGATTTAAATTACTTAAAAGAAACAGACCAAACAAAAGAGGAGGTGGAGTTGCTCTCTATATAAGAAATAACTACACCTCTACAGAAATAGAGCACAACAATGATGAAAACTGTCCTGAATGCATTTGAGTATAAAAGGGGGGGAAATGACATTGCCATAGGTGTATACTATAGGTCACCCAACCAAACAGAGGAAATAGATGAACTTTTTGCAAGTCAGCTAACTAAGGTATGTAGGAAGCACATCACAATAGTAATGGGGGGACTTTAATTACCCTGACATCAACTGGGAGACAAACTCTGCACCAAATGGAAGATCAAACAGATTCCTGACAAACCTAGCAGACTTTTGTCTCCCAAAAAGTAGAGAAGGGAACTAGGGGATTAGCCAGATTGGATCTAATCCTCACTAATAGAGATGAAATGATAGAAGGTGTTGAAGCCACAGGAACCTTGGGGGGAAGTGATCATGCAATATTGGAATTCAACATTCTGGAAGCACAAGCAATAGAACACAGTCAAACTAGAGTCTTGGACTTTAAGAGAGCTAATTTCAATAAACCTAGAGACAGATTGGGAAGGATTCTATGGATGAGAATCCTCAAGGGAAAAACAACTCAAGAAGCTTGGGAAATTTTGAAAAGTGAGATAATAAAAGCCCAGTCTAGCACAATACAAACAAAGAAGAAAAATAACAGCTCTCAAAAGAAACCAGCATGGCTGCATAAAGAACTCTTTGATAAATTGAAAGATAAAAAATGGAAAGAGAGGCACATAACTAAGGCAGAATATCAGCAAATAGCCCGTGCCTGCAAAGATGAAGTGAGGAAAGCTAAGGCTCAAAATGAACTAAGGCTTGCGACCAAAATAAAAAATAACAAAAAAAGCTTCTTTCAACATGTAAAAAAGAAGAAAAAAGTGAAGGAAATGATTGGTCCATTAGTGGGGGAAAGTGGCAAGAAGGTGACAAGCAAAAGGGAGAAAGCAGAACTATTTAACTTGTTTTTTGCATCTGTCTTTACACAAAGGGAAAAAACAGTCCAACCTATCAAAAACAGTCCCATAAAAAACAGATTAGAAACACAAGTTAAGATAGGCCAGAAAGTGAGCACCTGTCCAGTCTAGACGAGTTCAAATCACCAGGACCAGATGGATTATGCCCCAAGGTTCTCAAGGAACTGGCAATTGTGATCTCAGAACCACTGAAGTATATTTTTCAAAGATCCTGGAGCACTGGGGAAGTATCAGAGGACTGGAAAAGAGCTGATGTAGTTCCCATCTTCAAAAAATGGAAAAAAATAGATCCAAGAAACTACAGACCTATCAGCCTGACCCCAATACCTGGGAAGATTCTGGAAAAGATAATCAAACAATGAATCAACGAACATCTAGAGGGTTCTAGGGTTCTTTGCAGCAAGATTTTGCCCCCTGTGGGACAAATCTTTGCCCTTTGGCTGTTTAAAGTAACCAAAGAATAATGCCTCATTGAGGGAGGAGCCTTTTTCCCACCTAGACTCAACTCTGAGCCCAATCCCCAGACTGCCCTCTTTAGGCAAGGCTTTGGAGAAAATGGTAGGACAGTTACTTTATTTCCTCAATGCTAGCACAGGAGAAAGGCCAATGGCTGGATAGCAATCATTAGAAAATAAAGTGCCCTGATGAACAATTCGTAAGTTTTGAAGATTGTAGAAAAAAAAATAGACAAAACTCAAACTATGATGAGCTCCAGGACTGAAAGTGCTATCACTATAGTGTTTGAAAACAAACTGAAGAAGTTTGATGGACTGGTGGTATTCCCACCAAACAATTCTGTAAACCGAGGATATAGGAATCTGCATAAGCACTTTAACCCATATGTGTAAATCACAAGACCACAATGAAGAATCATTATTTGAGTACTTGCATAGCCCTGGACAGAAAAAGAAAATCTAGGCTGGCTACAAGACAGAAGAGAGAACAAATGGAATGAAAGTATATTCCAACATAACAATAAATGAAAACTATTCTATGAACATATTGACTGAAATCTTATCCAGTGTTCATAATTAATGATTAGTTTTACAATGCTTACTGTATGGAAAAAAAGTTACCTAATACATACTTTTTGAAGTTAGAATTAGACATTGATCTGTTTCTGAGTACAATTTCATAGGAAAAAAATGGGGGGGGCCCCCGAAATCCTCTTGATTGTTGCTTTTGGTCTTAAACAGCTAGAGAACTGAGTAAGTGAAATTCATCTTTTTTTCATTTAATGTTATTAAGTTAATTTTTTGATCACTTAAAGCATCGGAAATTAAAAGACTACCCTTGACATATTGAGGCAATCATCTTAAAGAAAGACTCATAAATCCATCATATTAGAGCAATCCAGACTCCAATCCTACTCTGATAAGGAATTTGATATTCTTAATGAACGCTCTTGCTTAAGCTCCTGAGCTATTTGAACTTAGACACCCAAGTAACTGATTAAGGCAGCTTCTCAACTGTGGTATTTTTCAATGAAAACTGAAGAACATTTTAGCTGCTTGGGCATTCTAATATATTTATCAGAGCTGATTTTAGGTACATGCTTTATGATTTATATTGGAATCTACTGATTTCTTGCAACCTTTTATCTTTGCAATATTAAATCAAATTTTATTGTATTATTTTTACTTGCATATGAGTATTTGAATAAAAATGTTAACGTGTTAGTGTATACTGTATAGTAAAGGATGATTCTAGTGCAGGAGTAGGCAACCTTGGCTCTTCTATGACTGGTAGACTTCAACTCTCAGAATTCCTGAGCCAGCCATGCTGGCTCAGGAATTCTGGGAGTTGAAGTCCACGAGTCATAGAAGAGCCAAGGTTGCCTACTCCTGTACTAGTGAATTTGTCATCTTAGGAGTACATTTTGTCTAATTTAATGTCCCACAATAACAGTTTCAAAACTGACATTACAATTATCTTTTGACTTGGATAAAACAATATGCACTTATTTTTACACTCCGTGTAGGAAGCTAAAACTTGCTTCTGTTATTTGGTATTAGGATACTTTTGGTTTGTCTTATGATTAGCCCCATACAGCAAATTTTGAAACTGCTAACCTTCCAGATCTGTGATTACCATTTCTTGTTTGTTTCTCAGCTTTGCTAAATTTTTAGCTTTTTCTTCTTCTTCAGCCAGCTGTGAAGTACATTCTGCAATTCTGTCCTCCATTAATTTCTTTTCCTAATTGAATAAAAAAGCAAGAATGAAGTAATATATACATGGGAGTCAAAGAATAAGATACAAACTGTGCAGCTGTCATTCCAACCAACCCAATTATAAAGTATGGTTATAACAAAGTAAGATTCTCCACTGTTTTAAAATATTTTGATCCTCCTCACATTTTTTAGAGCAACTGTTACAGGTTCACAGAAAATGTATTTTACATTTAGTTGTTAACAGACATCTAAAAATATGTTTATGTTTTATATTTAGCAGATGCAAAATATATTGAAAACAAAACTTCTAGCATGTATTTTATCTCAATCCAATTGCTATCACTAACCTGATTCTTTCTGGATGAATTGAGGCTTTGTATCATGCTGATTAAGAAGGCTAGGTTTTTAATCCAATTTGAAGAATGTAAGGTTGGAGAGTCTCAGATCAGCAAAATAATTTTCTGGGTTTTCATTAAATGAGCTTATTTCACCAGTAAATTTGTATGTTTGAGGCATTCCAAGCTACAGCTAGTCATCTTGAAGGTTCTAAAATTACCTGCTATTTGTTTTGAACAATCCATTAAAGTTTTGAATAGAATCAATAATATTAATACATTACAAAGCCTCAATTCATCTGGAAAGGATCAGGTTAGTGATAGCAATTGGTCATTAACATAAGAAGTCCTTAATTCCACATGCTGCACCAATTATAAAACTTGGTCAAAAACAAACAGCAAGAATAATTATTTGTATGATTTTTGATATCACTGTCTGAAGCGTAATGACATTTGATAAGGATGATATATGATTCTAAACATCAAATATCAGCAATCAGGTATTAAATTTAGGCTATAAGCTCACAAAAAAGAGAGGGAAGAAAGTGTAGTGTAGTGTAGTGTAGTGTAGTAGAGCCGAGTAGGACAGGACAGGACAGGACAGGACAGGACAGAACACTTTACTGGCAGAGTGTGAGTGGACACAGAAGGAATTTGCCTCTGGTGCATAAGCTCTCAGTATACATACAAACAATGAAGTAATATAGTCATAAGATATCAATAGGAGAAGGTAGTAGAAAATATGAAAAGAACTTATTGCGTTACATGCCTAATAAGTCAAGGTTTCCTAATATCGTTGATTTGGGGGATGAGAGAAGATAATGTAATAGTGATAGAATCCTGGAATGGTTTCAGCATTCTTGTTATAAGTTATCTTCATACAGCCATGGCTACTATAGAAAAGCATATTTGTGAATGTCTATGGAGATTTTCAGTCATCCAGGTCACGGTGGTCCCAAAGATACTTTTTCTTCCGAAAAGGCAACCTTTTTTTTTTTGGGGGGGGGGGGGAGCACATTTGGGACATATTTGTGAAAGTACAAGATAGATTACTGGAAATAATCAAGTGAAAGTTTAATTCCCTTCACCATTGCTTTATTAGCACAATAGTTTTAAATGGTTGCTGTCTGCGAAACGTTTCACTGATAATGTAATGGATTCACATACAGGAAAAAGTCAGGAATCAGTATACAGACATATATTTAATACACAATTCTTTTACTGGAGCAAATTCCCTTTTAAATGTAATGGCCAAACCAAAAAGAACTTTCTTTCAAAAAACATAAAGCTACCTGTATTTTAGCTTGTGGATTTTGGAGTTCCCTTTATCTATTAAATACAGTAAACACGCCAGATTTTAATGTTTCAGACAGGAGACGGTAATGTAATAAAACAAATTTATGTCTAATCATTGCAGGCTACTTTTCTCAATCTTAAAAATGGCCAGACATAGCATGTTATCCATAGTTACCATTGTTCATTTACTAGCCAATTTTGGCCACATTGATGCACAGGAGAGGAATACCCGGTTTTGTTTTTTTCTCACCTTAAGAAATTTGGAATTCTGGTCTTCCAATAATATGATTTCTTCCTCCATTTTCTTTATTTTTGCTTCAGCTGTTACCTTCTCAAGCTGTAGCTTCTGTCGAGCTCCTTCTTCCTCATCAAGTTGCTCCTCTAGATCCTGAAAAACAGAAAAGAGGTCATAATTGTATTGGGTTAATGGAAGAGGCTAATATTCCCAATATTTAGGCAGAGTTTCTAATAATCCCATCATCGCTCCATTGAGCAACACCTGTATGTGTGACTGCATTTTTTTCTTTTCGTTCTGAAGCACTTGATTCCGTTCCTCCTCCTCTTCTACCCTGGATTCCAAATCATGCAGAATTTCTTCTAACTCTTGCTTCTTGGCAGCCAGGCGAGCTCTCATCTCTTCAGCCTCAGCAAAGAGTTCTGTCTCCGCTTGCAGTTGTTCGGCAAGAATGTTCTTCTCTTCTACCAACTACAAACACAATAAGAAAAATCTTTCAATCTTTTAGCGTGCTGTCAACAAGCAGGAACAATTTAAGGAGTCCTTGATTCTCTCTGAGCTTTCTTGTTTCCTTGCAGATGTTTCATTACCAAAACTAGGTAAACATCTTCAGTGCTAGTAGCTGATGTTACCTAGTTTGGGTAATGGGGTGTCTGCAAGGAATCAAGAAAGCTTATAATAGAGTTAAAGTATGTTAATATTTGATTGTATTATGTTTGGGTAGTATTATTTAGATATGTGATGATATGTGCTTATCCCTGTACTCATTTCTGGGAAATCCGGGGGGGGGGGAATGAAGGGGGTAGAGATATGCAAAATTTGGTGTATTAATATGTTATAGAATAATGTATTTTTTTTAAAGAGGAGGTGTTCGATTAGCACCCCCAAACTGCATCCGAAGGATGAGGAAAGGAAGGAGGNTCTGGATGAATTGAGGCTTTGTATCATGCTGATTAAGAAGGCTAGGTTTTTAATCCAATTTGAAGAATGTAAGGTTGGAGAGTCTCAGATCAGCAAAATAATTTTCTGGGTTTTCATTAAATGAGCTTATTTCACCAGTAAATTTGTATGTTTGAGGCATTCCAAGCTACAGCTAGTCATCTTGAAGGTTCTAAAATTATCTGCTATTTGTTTTGAACAATCCATTAAAGTTTTGAATAGAATCAGTAATATTAATACATTACAAAGCCTCAATTCATCTGGAAAGGATCAGGTTAGTGATAGCAATTGGTCATTACCATAAGAAGTCCTTAATTCCACATGCTGCACCAATTATAAAACTTGGTCAAAAACAAACAGCAAGAATAATTATTTGTATGATTTTTGATATCACTGTCTGAAGCGTAATGACATTTGATAAGGATGATATATGATTCTAAACATCAAATATCAGCAATCAGGTATTAAATTTAGGCTATAAGCTCACAAAAAAGAGAGGGAAGAAAGTGTAGTGTAGTGTAATGTAATGTAGTAGAGCCGAGTAGGACAGGACAGAACACTTTACTGGCAGAGTGTGAGTGGACACAGAAGGAATTTGCCTCTGGTGCATAAGCTCTCAGTGTACATACAAGCAATGAAGTAATATAGTCATAAGATATCAATAGGAGAAGGTAGTAGAAAATATGAAAAGAACTTATTGCGTTACATGCCTAATAAGTCAAGGTTTCCTAATATCGTTGATTTGGGGGATGAGAGAAGATAATGTAATAGTGATAGAATCCTGGAATGGTTTCAGCATTCTTGTTATAAGCTATCTTCATACGGCCATGGCTACTATAGAAAAGCATATTTGTGAATGTCTATGGAGATTTTCAGTCATCCAGGTCACGGTGGTCCCAAAGATACTTTTTCTTCCGAAAAGGCAACCTTTTTTGGGGGAGGGAGCACATTTGGGACATATTTGTGAATGTACAAGATAGATTACTGGAAATAATCAAGTGAAAGTTTAATTCCCTTCACCATTGCCTTTATTAGCACAATAGTTTTAAATGGTTGCGAAACTTTTCACTGATAATGTAATGGATTCACATACAGGGAAAAGTCAGGAATCAGTATACAGACATATATTTAATACACAATTCTTTTACTGGAGCAAATTCCCTTTTAAATGTAATGGCCAAACCAAAAAGAACTTTCTTTCAAAAAACATAAAGCTACCTGTATTTAGCTTGTGGATTTTGGAGTTCCCTTTATCTATTAAATACAGTAAACACACCAGATTTTAATGTTTCAGACAGGAGAGGGTAATGTAATAAAACAAATTTATGTCTAATCATTGCAGGCTACTTTTCTCAATCTTAAAAATGGCCAGAGATAGCATGTTATCTATAGTTACCATTGTTCATTTACTAGCCAATTTTGGCTACATTGATGCACAGGAGAGGAATACCCGGTTTTGTTTTTTTCTCACCTTAAGAAATTTGGAATTCTGGTCCTCCAATAATATGATTTCTTCCTCCATTTTCTTTATTTTTGCTTCAGCTGTTACCTTCTCAAGCTGTAGCTTCTGTCGAGCTCCTTCTTCCTCATCAAGTTGCTCCTCTAGATCCTGAAAAACAGAAAAGAGGTCATAATTGTATTGGGTTAATGGAAGAGGCTGATATTCCCAATATTTAGGCAGAGTTTCTAATAATCCCATCATCGCTCCATTGAGCAACACCTGTATGTGTGACTGCATTTTTTTCTTTTCGTTCTGAAGCACTTGATTCCGTTCCTCCTCCTCTTCTACCCGGGATTCCAAATCATGCAGAATTTCTTCTAACTCTTGCTTCTTGGCAGCCAGGCGAGCTCTCATCTCTTCAGCCTCAGCAAAGAGTTCTGTCTCCGCTTGCAGTTGTTCGGCAAGAATGTTCTTCTCTTCTACCAACTACAAACACAATAAGAAAAATCTTTCAATCTTTTAGCGTGCTGTCAACAAGCTGAACAATTTGAGGAGTCCTTGATTCTCTCTGAGCTTTCTTGTTTCCTTGCAGATGTTTCATTACCAAAACTAGGTAAACATCATCAGTGCTAGTAGCTGATGTTACCTAGTTTGGGTAATGGGGTGTCTGCAAGGAATCAAGAAAGCTTATAATAGAGTTAAAGTATGTTAATATTTGATTGTATTATGTTTGGGTAGTATTATTTAGATATGTGATGATATGTGCTTATCCCTGTACTCAGTTCTGGGAAGTCCGGGGGGGAAGGGGGGGATGAGGGGGGTAGAGATATGCAAAATTTGGTGTATTAATATGTTATAGAATAATGTGTTTTTTTTAAAGAGGAGGTGCTCGATTAGCACCCCCAAACTGCATCCGAAGGATGAGGAAAGGAAGGAGGTGGGATGTGTAGGGTAGTTGAAAGAGAGGAGGAGGTGCAGGTAGGAGGGGAGGAGAGGAGGAGGGAAGTAGGTAGGAAGGGTGAAAGAGAGGGCGGATGCAGGGGGGGGGCTGCCGAGCACCTCTGAAAATATGGTTATGTTATGTTTAATATGTTTTTTTATTAATGTACACCATATTTGTATTTAGAATTTGTTTATTTGAAAATTAATAAAAAATTGAAAAGAAAAAAAAAAGAAAGCTCAGAGAGCACCCAGGACCCCTCAAATCAACTCTGACCTATAAATATTCTCAACAATCTATCAGAATTTACCAGCTATTGGAATTTGACATAGTTTTCCATATTGCAAAAATGATGTCAACAGCTCTTAACTTAACTCAGCAAGTTAATATGTCATAATAATTTTGCTTAATTGGACAATCAGCCTATAAAGCCAATTAAAGTTGTAAAAATCTATTTGTCACAAAAAATATTTTCTCTGTTGTAACGTGTGTTCAAATCACACTTGCACGTAAGATATGGATGATTAGCATTGTATAAATCAGACTGTATATAATGACCTGCTGATGCTTTCTTTCCATCTCTTCTAGTTCTGCTTCCACTTTACTCTGTTTCTCTTTCACCTTTACCAGTTCCTCATCTTTAGCCTGAAGTTCTTCCTCCTGACGAGTAACCTGAAGCAGAGGCTTCACCTACACAATTAATCAAAAGCCACAAGGCCAGAAGTTAATGTCAGTTCTCTGCCATTAAGAGTTCCATCACATAATTTAGAGATGAAGAACAATCATCTACCTTTGTGAACACTCTCCACCACTGCCAGTGCCTTAGTTTCAAATATGCTGCACAATTTCTTTGTAAAACTTTCAATGCACTCAGTTGCTGCTGCTTCTTAGCAAAAGCTCTGAAGACAAATCAAGAAACCTTTTTTTTTATAAAACAGTTGAAAATTTCTGCATTTTGTCAATTAGCTCAAAATATTGGCTTAATAACAAAGCCCGATTAAAGTACAAAGTGATAATAACACTTCTAGATGGAAGGAACTATAGCTAAGCAATCAATGAACAAATCATGCACATTACTTTAAATGTAGTACTTTTGGTTAACCTAAACCCTTTAAAGGATTTCGCCAAATCTTGTCCATAAGGAATAAAATAATATTACTACAATAACTTACTTTCTGGCCAAGTATCCCCTACAAACAGCTTGGAAGAATATAATGATGTCCGTTATCTTCAAATCTCTTTCTTCTTCAAGATGCGCCAAAACTCCAGCTCGGAAAAAAATCTTGCTCTGACCAATTCTATAGAGGTTAGGATCCAATTCCAGTGCTCTGATCTATGCAAGAGCCAAATCCATTTATTTAAAGTAGGGAGAAAATAAATGATGAAACCTTTTAGATGTGTTATATTTGTATATAATAGCTCACCATTCTCTCACAAGCTTGCTTTCCATCCATAAAACCCTTAGGAATTGCATTTGGAGTCAGGATCTCATACCTATGAACAGAAAACAAGTAGATGTTGGTAAAGTCACAGATATCTATTCTTCCTGGGAAAAAAGACTAAATGTTAATAAACAACAAAAACAAAGTTACTTGGACAAAGTGTATTAGATGTATTGAAGTACCTCTGTCTAAATTCTTGGAACACGATCCTGTTTGGAAATCCCTGTCGACAAATCCGTATTCCTTCGAGAACACCATTGCAACGGAGCTGGTCTAGAACAAGATGGGGATCCAGCTTTCCAGCCTAAATACACAGACATTCCTTTTAGCATTTTTTCACTAAAAAATATTAATGTCTAATCACTCAAAAATCAAAGTGCTCCTCAGTATCCATATACAACATGAAATCAAAATGTTTCAATATCGGCAAATAGAGATACATAGTATGACCCCAAAACACACAAGGGGCAGTTATTGTATCTAAGTCAAATACAATCCCTGTAACAATACATACCCTCTTCTCATGATTTGGAATTATGCAGCGAACAAAATTTGGGTTAGTATTTCGTAGTGTGGCCATCAGTTTGGTGAGTGATTCTTTGTATAGCTGCCCTACTGTACGGAACATCCCCTTCTTGGTCTTATAAGCTGAGCCAAATGCCGTCTCTGTTATTCCAGTGACTTGATCTAAGCCCACAATACGGTCCACTGCAGGCAACAAAGAATGTACAGTTAATTGGTCCATAGAGGATTCAGAAATAAAGACAATACATATAAATAAAAGGTGCAATAAATGTTTTGTGAGACAATATTGAAAGGGGCCATCTGTGCCAAAGCAAATAGGTATGCATGGAAGTAGCCGGACTGAAAGCAATGCGCAAGGCAAAAATACTGTAGCTTTGACAATTATGAACTAGAAAGAACAAAAAGTTACTATTTTACTTTTAGTTGCACTACAGCCATTCCCTTTTTATAATTAAAATAAATTTTTTGACAAGAATCAAGTGCGAGCACAGAATGAATAATGCTGAAAAATTTATTATATAGCCAAAGCAAATGACTAAATGGATTAAACTCTGCATTAAAGACAAAATATTACCATCCTCCCAGAGTATCTTTGCTTGAAATAAAGTACAGTATTTCCTATAAAACTGCAACATAAAATATGGGTTTCAGCTTTTTCATTATATTTTCCTATTATATCACAAAAATACTAGTTATATGCTTGTCATATTGACATTAATTCAGCTGAAATATCATCAGTTTTCTATGAAGAATAAAACTGAGGAAAATTTGATTTAATTAGTTCATTCCAATAAAATTAACCCTAAAGACAACTTCTACTCTGAGGAGAAATATCAAGCAACCAGAGATATATATTTTGGCCCAGAAATAAAGCAGAAATGAAATAAAGTAGCTGGGGTGAGGACCATCACACTGTCATTCTAAAGAACTGAACATACCACAGTCTTTTAACATTCCCAGTCACAAAAATATGTGCAGTTAAATCAAAATGTACTTAACATGTTTCCTAAATAGAATTAAGAGTTAAGTATCTCTCCTTAATCCGTGAAATGCATTTTCACATTTTAAATGATTAAAAGAAATGAAGGGGGGAGTAAATTACATGTTAGAAAAAACTAAAATTTATATATCCTAAATATAATAGTTATGCTGACAGGATGGCAATTCATGGTACTAAAGAAATTTATTCTATAAATTTAAAAAATCCTGTCTGATTTCAAATCTATCAATGCTATGTTTAATCATGGGAAAAATCAACTCTGCAGTAGCAAGTTAACCAAAACTCAAATTAACTAACTGTCATGGTTCCGACAGATGAAACCCTTCCAAAGAAGGGTAAGCAGCATTAACACTAACAACTGAGAATTGTAAACGTATACAGCGATTCCATCGCTGACTATAGGGGGCGAAACTTTGGCCCCCTCGGATAGGGTGCGCAATCTGGGTGTCCTCCTGGATTCACGGCTGACACTGGATGATCAGTTGGCGGCCGTGACCAGGGGGGCGTTTTATCAGGTCCGCCTGATTCACCAGTTGCGGCCTTTTCTGGACCGGGACGCCTTGCGCACAGTCACTCATGCTNCCGTCGGCCAGACAGTGCCGGCTGGCGACCCCAAGGGGGAGGGCCTTCTCTGTGGGAGCTCCCACCCTCTGGAATGAGCTGCCCCCAGAGATCAGGGTGATCCCTGATCTCCCTTCCTTCCGCCGCGCCCTTAAGACATGGCTATTCCAACTTGCAGGACTGGCCTAGGGGAAAATTTTAATGGGGTTTTAAAGCAATTCTTAAATTAATTTGACCAAATTATTAATATTTGTTTTTACTTATGTTTTTAAATTTGTAGTTTTTGGGGATTAGTGTTTTATCTGGTTGTTAGCCGCCCTGAGTCCGTAAGGAGAAGGGCGGGATATAAATTAAATTAATAAATAAATAAATAAATAATATAATCATTTCAAGTTTAATAAAATATATGATTTGTTTTGTGTGTAGATTTCAGAGGCCATAACAATTTCAAGGCAGTACAACACATAAGCAGGTGTCACAATCCCATACTTCATTTTGGATCTGTAATAATAATTTAATGCAATAATAATACATTCAAGTATATTTACATTCTTTATAAAATAGATTACAAGAAGACTACTATAAAATATTTAAGAAGATTTGTAAAGAGTTATAGTGCTAAGGCAGTTTTTTAAATACTAATTTTTATTTAAATTTAGATATTCCAGTTTGAGAATAATATAGGTAAATGTAAGTTATAAGTATAGAATTCAAGCAGGCTACGAGAGGAGAGCCAGAACACTTCATGGGGCAGTTCTATAGCTAATGGCATGAAATTTTTATTGCCCAGGAAGGAAAGGATCATATGACCCACACTTCTAGTAATAGCAAGCCTCTAAGCTAGCTATTACTAATCCAGCATGTTCTGCCCAACTGCTGACTTTCATACAGAGCACAGCCAGAGGAATCCATACACTAGAATAAGTGTTAATTCACTTTCCAGATAGTCTAGCAGAAACATCAGTGGAAGAAAGGTGTCAATATAACTCTGGTTCCCAATTGTACTGATCAACTGGACTGTGACTAGCACCTTCGTTATAACAAAGTAGGAGGAAACCTCATAGCAAATATCAAATTTTACTGAGTTACTGAAGGATTGAAGGAACTTTGCCAGGCACCCTGTCCATGAGTCCAGATAATAAACGTTATCACCAATGTATCTGAACCACATAAAAAAAAATCTCTTGGGATAGGAGATGAGGATGCACCATGCTGTAATAAATAGCTTTAAAGATACTGATATTCACCTACTTAGACATAGAGTAGTATTTCAACTTCCTCATCAAGGAAGAATGGGAAAGATTTTTTTTTTTGATAGGAATATTCAATCTGAGGAAAAATAGATTCAGCCTTTATTTAAGTTCTGAGAAGCTGCTAAGAGACATAAGGCTATAGTTTAAAATAGTGCTGACAATCAATAGACAGCACCCAGTTTACAAATCTCATTTATAAATCCTAGAGATTTCATTAACAAAACTGAGGCAAACTATCAAATAAAAAGAATTACTTATCAATTTTCAAAGGAAAAGGAAAGGAAAAAGTGGATTTAAAACATTCAGTTGGAAAAACCCACAAAAATTCTAAAAAATACATATAAAAGTCTAAAATCCTGGTTTGGCCCGCTTGTATAACATCATATTCATACCATGCGTATACCATATATCACAACATCAAGCCATTTTATAGGAATATATGTGATAAGCACAGTCACAAAAATGGGATTAGAATGAAGATGGGGACATTAGAACAAAGCTACCCTATAACAGCCAAGAAAGTTGAATATCAGAGTCTTGAAGAAGCAGGAGCAATTGATTTCACAGAATCAGAAATTAGAAAAGATTATGAGAATCACTAAGTCTCTACAATGTGTGTGAAAACCAAACAAACCGTTTGCAAGAGGCGACTACTTAGCTTAATAAAAACTTCCAGAAGCGAACAACCTTCAGAGGTAGACAGTTCTACTGTTATATGCATTTTGAAGAAACCTAACTTTTTATGCTTTTGGAAAAACTTGTCTTTGGGATATATTTCACATGGTAAGAAGTACATCAAATATCTCTAATAAACGTTTTGTAACCACTAAAACTTGTATCTCTAATAGGCATTACAATATACATGTGTGATAATCAGGTATGATGAAACCTCAAATATTCTCATCCTAAATTGGAATCTAATACAGTAGTGAGAAAAAATATGTAACTGTGCCTCGCTGTTCTGTTTTGAATGACTGAGGAGAAATATGGGTAGCTAGGCTCCATTTTGGTTTGTTTTAAAGAAGTAAATATACTCATTCCTAAGAAGGATAACTGGTTACTCTATGGATTCTTATTTTGTCATCATTGAAGCTCTAGTTCAAGAAAAAATTATTCTACTTAAGTTTGTCATATACGGTATATCCTGAATTTCCAGCATTCCTCATCCTGTCACTAGAACTACAATCAGAATTAGAATCAGAATAGAGCTGGTAGAGACCTTGGAGGTCTTCTAGTCCAGCCCACTGCTCAAGGAGGAGTCCCTATATCATTTCAGACAAATGGCTGTCCAGTCTCTTCTTAAAAACCTCGAGTGATGAAGCATCCACAATGTTTGAAAGCAAGCTGTTCCACTAGTTAATTGTCCTCACCATTAAGAAGTTTTTCCTTAATTCCAGGTTGCTTCTCTCCTTGATTAGTTTCCATCTATTATTTCTTGCCTTGCTTTTTGGTGCTTTGGAAAAATACTACTTCAGTGATCCTAAAATTTTGGGGGGACTCAGAAATGATATGTATTGGACCTAAAAGCTACGACCTTTCTCATGTCCCCTAATGTTCTAGCATCAAGGTTCTTCTGTCAACCAAACTGGAATGTTAATTTGCAGCCAAGTCAACATTTATTTATTCATTTAAAACATTTATAGTGACAGTGTCATGGGCATCAACACATTTTCAACACCCACTGACAATATTCATGGAAATATTTTTTATTAGAATCCACATATGCGGATGTATACACATATATCAGTGGCCCCCAACCTTAACGGCCCGGTGGGGGGGGAATCGGGCTGTGCGAGCAGTGGGCTGCGGCACATGTGCATGTGCAACTTGACTTGTGCAAGCAGCAGGCCGGCGCACACACACATGCAGCTCAATTTGTGCAAGTGGCAGGCTGGCGTGCATGCACAAGCACACACTGCTCAACTTGCGCAAGTTGAGCTTCGCATCTGTGTGCAGGCACGCCACCCACTGCTCATACAAGTTGAACTGTGTGTGCATGCTGGCCCACCACTCGTACAGGCCAGTTCCAAACAGCCCACGACCTGATAGTGGGCCCTGCCCTAGTGATTAGGGACCCCTGACATACACAGATGGCCAAAGCTTTACAAGATGGCGAAACAGTATTTTTTTGGTATTTTTGCAATGAATCATAGGAGGCTTCAGACAGAAACATCATAATAACTTTCACACTAAAGGTTACATAATGTCTTGAGAAGTGAAAGCTGATATTTCATGAGATTTGGAACTTTTACCGAGTCTGAGCCATCTACTTCTTTCTCCCTGTTTTTAATCATTGGCTCCCACAGCTGAAATGCTATTAGCCTCCTGAGTAGAGATTTTAATTTTTTTGCACAAATAAAGTGTTTGTTGGTATTCTCCACAGGAATCAATACCTATGATCAATTGGTGATCAAAAACGCCTGCTTATTCAGTGTTTCAGATTTAGCAAAATACTTTTCTTCTTTAGAATAAACAATAAAAGAATTCAAAATATTTTTAAGCAACGATGAACAGAAAGCTAAATCATTTAAGGAAGAAATAAAAAATAAGAACGTATGAATTAGCAGTAGAGTACAACAAGACACAATGAGACAGAAAAAAACAGCCAAGTAGCATCAGGTATAGAGATAAAAATGTAAATCACATGATTTTCCGCTTCCTGGATAATAGAGATTAATCTAATGTTGATGAACCTACTGCTCATTTCAAACTGAGCACATAATATTTTGCTACACTTCTATTAGTAGTCCTTGATGAGTTTTCCTGGTAGCAATGGAAGGCAGCAGGACCATGTAGCTTTCATTTTAATTTTCCAGAATCCCTCAAAGCAGGGATTCCCACTGTGATTCATAACCCAGAGAGTTATGAGCAATAGGGTACCATTTTTAAAAATCCAGATTGTATTTTGCAGACAGTTTAAACACAGTCAAAATGTGTTCCAGCTTTGTCCATGCAAGGTTCAAAAGATTGACAACTCTGGTGATACATAGATTAAATTATAAAATTATTAGCTTTGTTAATGTAAGAAGGGATGAGTACAATATCAGGGGTCAAAATAGCAAACTTTTGACTTAATGGCTTGTGAAATTAAAACCTGTTTGCTGCATAGCACCACATTTTCAAATGTAGCATATCACATAAAGACAAATAATGCTGTTTTATTTGTATAAATATAACATGGACAAAAATTAGACCAACAACAACACTTCTAAACTGAAATATCCAAAATTATCAAATGGTGTCAGAAAAGCAAGCTCGTGTTTTAAAATGCAGCTGCTCACTTGCAAAGCTTTTTCAAAGTGCAGTAGAAAAAATGAGATTATTTGATGCAGTAGCAACTGAATAGTAGGCACACAAGAACACTTGCCTTGTGCAGATAACACTAAGACTAGGATGAAATGAAAAGTTCATGCTGGCCTATAAGCAAAAGGAAAAAAAAAACCCAAGATTTTTCCTATAGGTTCAAGTCCTGCTTTTAGGAGCCCCGTTTATTTTTTCATACATTCACCTGGTGCATCAGGAAAACCAGGAACATTGTCATAGAAAGAGGCTCTCTGAATATTGTGAATGTCTGTGGCACAGAAACAGCAAAAATAAAAAGCAGATATAGAAGATAATCCAGTTAGTAAAAAACCACCACTCAGAATTTCAATGAAGCTTTAACAATATACTGTATATAGTCTATTATGGGTATTAGGAATGGTGTATTCATTTCAGAACTCAAAAGACTAATAGCTGGTTGCAGCAGCAATTAGATATGAGCAAATATTAGCCTATATAAAATAGTCACCTCAGCTGTTTATCAATAAAGGGTTTAGTGCAAAATATCCGCATACTGTAGTATACTCAGAATTAATTCACAGGTCTTCAACATGAAATATTGTTAGCACAATGAGGCATTTAGACCAGCATCCTATGCTTACAACATGACATGGCGATACATGAATACCACATGCAACACTCATGTACTATCAAAGAAATGGGAAGATAACACAAAATGAATTATAGAATTCATCATATATCCATGACAAGTGCAAGTATGTTGGCTATTTCTAACATACAAAATCTTTCTAAATGGCTGTTCAAATGAAAAATGCTATGCTATAATTATTAGATATTCATGAACCTACCTTCTTAAATCCATATGTGTTCAAAAGCAATCTTTGGTGTGTTTATCTGGCACAATGTTTTAATAAATATATGATGCGGGAGCAGAGTATGCAACACTGTATATACCATTTTGGTCACATCTCAAAAAGATATCGCAGAAATGGGCACTGTCCTTTTTTGTACACAGTTATCAAGAGACTAGAATTACCTTACAGGGAAAGATTTCAACTTTTCCTGTTGGAAAGTAAAGTAAGCAATACAATAGAGGCTTACAAAAGCCCAAACTAAGGAAAATATGAAAGAAATCTCTTCCCCAATCATACTAGAGGTTGGGGTTATTTCATTAATTTGAGTAACAATGATACAGATCTAAGAAAATAAAATATCTCACATAGCATACCATAATCGACCTCTGAAATTCAGCATCACAGAATGAATTATCAGTTATTAACCCAAATGGATAGAAAAGGATTTAGTCAAAATCATGAAGGGTAACAATTTCACACATGATATGCTAAACTACCTCGAATATCAGAAGAAGCATACAATACTCCCTTGTTTTCATATCTTTATACCTGCACACTATAAGGAGGACAGTTGATAGTGGCTATTATGAGATATTAGAAAGATTTGTGGCTGATATAATAATTGTTGTACTATTAATGCAACATAAAAGTAGTAAAGTGGTAACTGATACTCAGTCACATTACTTTATACTCTAAAAACTCTTTTCAAAGCATGCTTGTGTTAATAAAGTTCATTACGTTAGTGATTTGCGAAAACCCTTAGTGTACTATCTTGCAGTCCAATAACTTAGAGAGTTAAATAAAAACACAGCTTGCAGCCATCTCATTTTATGGAAAAACCAGACTACTTTTTAATTAATAGTGGCTGAAATCACACCTTTAATTTTTGTTGATTGTTATAAAGGAGCAAAGCTGTTTTATTTGTAATGGAATCTCTCAAGATTAATCTGAAATAGTAAGCAATTCTATTCAAATACACAATTATCTAGCAGTCTGATGCATGAACAAAAAATGCAGCTAACCATGACACAAGTATAAATGAAATATTTGTATGGTATAGCAGAGTATCTGATTACAGGTAGTCCTTGATTTACAACTATTCATTCAGCGATCAAGGTTACAAAGGCATTGAAAAAAGTGGCTCATATATGTTCCAACACACATACGATCCCTGAAACATCCCTGTAGTCAGGTGTTGCAATCTGGGTACTTGGCAACCAGCATGTATTTATGATGTCACCTTATTGGGTGACCTGGGCGGCATATAAATTTAATAAATAAATGATAGTTGCCGTGTCCAGGGGTCACATGATCACCATCTGCAACCTTTCCAGCTGGCTTCTAACAAGCAAAGTCAATGGGGAAAGCTAGATTTGCTTAACTGCTGCATGATTCATTTAACAACCACAGGAAAAAGACAGTAAAATTGGGATGGTCACATGATGACTCTCTTAAGAACCGTACTGCTTAGTGATGAAAGTCCTGATCCCAGTTATGATCCTAATTAACGACTATCTGTACAGATTTTGGTAAGCAATATTTGAGCAACCACATAGTAGTTTGGCTACATAGAATTATATCTTTCCTGAGTTTGGAGCAGATTCTTACCATCTTTCCAAAGTTCTGCAACAAATCTGTCAGAAGACTGGTGCAGAAGAGTTGCCACGTTATCATTCAGTGGGTCCATATTTTTCATTAGCCATTCATCTGCCTTGTAATCCACCTGGAATGAAGGGGAACTTAGTGAATCCCCTGAAAACTAAACTGTTTCTGCTCACATCAGTAGCTTCAAATGCTTCTATTCATTGGAGTCATTTTCAATGAAATCCTTTTAGATTAATAATAAATGCTTGACTATCAACAAGGTTAGTGGAGGGAGAACAGCTATTAGACAGAGTTCCATCATCACACATTATTAAATACAGTAATTGACATTCCAAAGATTATTGACTTTAAACAGAAACAATTTGTTGCAACAGATCTAGAAATCTTTGTCAACCACATTTTATTTATTTAGATACTTTTAAAAAAAATGTTTTAGTTACTTTTTATAATCATGATTATGTATGAAAATTAGAAGTCAAAATAGTTAAGGGCTCTATTATATCTAAATTCCAACAATCTCTTCAAAAGGGAAAGTCTGAAGAATAGTTACACTTTACAATGGTTATTTCTTACCCTTCCTGCATAATGGATAATGCAGAAGTCTGCCTTGTCCTTCAGCTGCCGAGGTTTTTGGAATTTGGAATGAGTACCTTGTTCTTGGACCAGTTTTTCTACAAAAGTCTTGTCAGTTGCTTTAGGGAACCAGCATTCTTCATCCAGCAAAGCCAATACACCAGGAGGGTTAGCCTAATTAAAAATAAAAAATACGTATATTATTACTATTTATTTCCTTCTCATATTCACCAAATAATATGGGAAAATACAGCTAAAGCAGAACAAACTGTACGTATGAAAATCAGAAAGATTTCTATTTTAACAGGCGTTAAAAACAAAATAAGGTTAAAAATAAGAGAAAATAAGAAAATAAAATGGCTTTATTCTAATTTTCTCTTTATCGCCTGTTAAAATAGAAACTCCAAGGAGCTCACTCACAATTTATTGTAACTGTTATTGTAGCTATAACAATATTTGTTATGATATATGATACATAATTAAAACTGTCAGAACATAAATGGTTTCATTAATGCTTCATAAAAGGTGAGTAGTGCATAAAATATATTATTGTGAGAATCAGACTCAATTTTACAAATGATACTTTGTAAATATTACCCAAGTGTAAAAAGACTGCAGACTAGAATAGCTACATTTTGGATCAACAGTCACCAAGTTTTCTGGCTTGGTGGCCCGGAGGGGTGGGGGAGAGGGGATAGTTCCCTATGAATGGTAGGTGGGCACACGCAAGTGTGCGGAGCTTCATTTTTGTGAGCAGTAGACAAATGTGCCCACCGCTCGCATGAAGGGAGCTTTGTGTGTGAGGGCAAGCAGCCGCTGTTTGCGTGAGGGGAGCTTTGCACACAATGGCAAGCAAAGTTCCAAACAGGCCAGATTTGATATAAGTTTAGTTTATGTTGTTTCATAAACCACTATGAAATGTTCATTTTGAATTAAACAATCTGAATATGTTAAAACATTATAGTAGTCCAAGAGGTAGGATTGCTAATTTGCTAATCAGAAAATAAGGGAAATTGGGGGGGAGGGACTTTGGTAGAAATAACCCATAGGGTTCAGTTCAGCAAGTGGGAATATTTTGCCTGAGAAAACTACCAGCTGAAAAAGAAAGGTATGGATATAAGAACTTACAGGTCGTTCAATTAAATCAATGCAGGGTTGTAGATCCAGTCCAAAGTCAATAAAATTCCATTCTATACCCTCCCTTTGGTATTCTTCTTGTTCCAAGATAAACATGGTATGGTTGAATAACTGCTGCAGTTTCTCATTGGTGTAGTTGATGCACAGTTGTTCGAAAGAGTTTAACTGGGAAAGCAATCAAGAGAAGTAAATTTTAATTGTACAGCTTTGATATTTACTATATTGTAAGAATATCTTAGAGAACAGATTATTTATTAAATGTTTTAACCAAACATCAGACGGAGGAGTATGCATCAAGAAAATGTCAGACATGTAAGCATGCACGGCCATCTCACTGAGAATTTCCTAAGTCAGCATACGAGCCAGATCAAACGTCAAGCCTCTAAGAAATGTAATCACAGATGGCATGCAGACTTTAAAGGTATATTGCAGTTCTGATTCAGTTCACTATCTTTTAGCATAAAGAATTCTTGCAGATATTTATAATACGATATACACAACTGATACTATGGATGGATAATGTCTGGCACCGCAAGTTAACAATAACATTTGATACGCAGCGGAAGTGTTCGGTTCTGCTTTGTTTACCTCAAAGATTTCAAATCCAGCAATATCCAAGATGCCAATGAAGGAAGCTCCCTGCCGTTTAGTTCTATCCAAAGCTTTGTTAATACGGTGAACAAGCCAACGGAAAAGACGTTCATATGTAGCTTTTGCCAATGCCTCTACAGCAAAGTCTGCCTTTAGAGGGGAAGTAGGAAAAATCATAGTTTATAACATACAAAGACGAGAAGTAACGCTTTACTGCAAAAAAAATCAAGCACAATAATTCTGGAATACAAAAGGTATAAAGGAATTAAGTTGCACTGAGCAAAAAAAAAAGATAAAAGTATGAACTTTAGGGAAAATGTTGTCTAGTTTTGTCATCTGTATAGCTTTTATAGAAAGCAATTGCTTCGGATAAATTCAGAATCAATACTGGACTACTTTGAAGCTGTTCAGAACACTTACAAAGACAGAGTCAACAGAGAGGCAGTGTAGTTACTGAAAACTCCAGCATCCAAAGGAGAAACAAAATAATGTCTTTTGTATATTTCCACTCACACTGCTTTTAAGAGAGGAGACTGAACTTAGAAAAATGTTTTGAGTTTTCACTGCACTTTGTGTGGGAGAGGGGCCACAGAAGCAACAAAACTGTTCTAGGCAGCATGAACTACAGATGCCCGTTACAGGTGGTCATTCTTTAATGCCTTCTTGTTCAGCAATTGTTTCAACTTATGAGTGCTGAACAAGAGGTAATTACAACCAGGTTGTACTTAGTCCTTGTACTTATGGCTGTCGTAGCTTCCCTATGATCATATGAGTGTGATTTGCAACCATCCCTGCTAGCTTCTGACAAGCAAAGTCAATGGAGAAGCTGGCAAGCTATTGTCACATGAGGTCCTCACTTAACGACGCAACCAGGATTGATGGAACTGTGTCGCTAAATGATGGAGTTTCTGGTCCCAATGAACATTATAGTGAGGGCTATCTGTTCACAGTACTTCCCAAACTTACTCATTTATGTGATGTTCTAATGAGCGCATAAAACCTGAAGCATTTTGTCAACAGCTGTTGGCAAAGGGAAAGGAAGAGTGCTAAAGGTAGTGCCAAACTGAAATTTATAAATGGGAAAATGTATATGAGCTCCAGACAGAAGAGCTGGGAAAGCAGAGCAGAATAGTTTTGCCCCTTCTATTGGTTAATGTAAATTACAGTGTGCAGCTATGTGCTTTTGAAAGTAAAGAAGGCACAATCGCTTTGTTTGAAGTAACATAAGGGGAACCGTCTGTGTGAAAGAATGCGTACGTGGATGTGCATAATGAGTTTATTATGATAAAAATAGCCTCCACCATAGCAGAATGAAAGGATCCATTTCCTATCCTTAAAATGTTAAAATCTCTTCTTTCAGCAAACTTTTTGAAAGAGAAGCTATGCGTTAAAAAGTAGATGTAAAGATTTTTTTAAACAACCAGAACTATATTACTTTTCATGCCAAAGGTAAATATTACAGTCATCTGACATAAAACTGCATTATGAATCGGGTTTCTTAGTTCTACCCAAATGCCCTTTAAAACATTCTCAACTGAATAAACTTCCATCAATGCTAGATTTAAAATGCTCTTATGAGCTGCATGCTTATAAATCTTGCCTCCACTATTTAGTCCTTCTATCCAAAACTGCTTATGTTCAGTTATGCCCATACCCAAATTCAACACAGAGGCACTGTTGGAGAAGTAAGCTAACAGCTACTTCTGGAACACAAAGCAAAACTTTAGAGCTCAAGAACAGAAACCTGATACAGTCTTACTATAATGTAAAGTATGTCCATCATCATCACTCTTGCCCCTGCCTCCCCAGCTAAAGTTCCAGATATGTTAGCTGGAAGCAGATGGGTACAATAAGATCTATCATTCCGTATTTTGGCTTACTTGTTCTTTGGTTTGGGCTTTTTGGACATAGTCCCTGCCAACTTTAATACGTGGAGTGAGTATTGCTCGAGTAAATTCCATTACATTCATTCCCAACAGATGGCAGAGCTTCTGTGCAACTACAAATGAAAGCAATGAAGTCAGTTATCACAATTCGCCTTCAGCTACTGCTTGTGCAATTTCTATATTTAAAAAAAACACTGTTTTCAGATTATCTAGCACTGGGAAAATATTTTCAAGTAAAAATGAAATCTGTATCTCTACTGTGAAATGTTTGTATGTTTCAAGATTGATTTTTTTCTGTGATCTACATTTGGGCCAATTGGGCTTCAATGTCAGCCTGTATATATCAAAAGGGCATCCACTATGCATCTAGCGTTTCCCTTGAACTATACTTTGCATATATTCTTTTAGCAGCAGTATGTAACGTGGCTTTCAGAAAAGCTTTTTTCCCTATTACTGACATTCTCAGTGGGATATTCAAACAAGTGAGGAATCCCATGATTAGCCACCATTTGAAACGTACCTCACTAAATCAAGTCCAGAATAACAGTAAACCTTGTAGTCCAGCAAGCAAAAAAAGCCTTGGAAAAAGTGATAATTTTAACCGCGCTCATCCATTAGTATATTTTAATAGTTTCACAAGTCTTTAATTACTAAATTACTTGCAGAAATAGTATTTCTGAGAACTGGTGGCACTGGTAGCTTCAACTATGAAAAAGTTAAAGAGAGGGAGATCAAATGGTAGCATGAGTAAAATGCTTCAATCCCTCTTCCCTAATAATCCCAATGCATGACAGACTAGCTATGTGGAAGCAAATTGTGGAAAACCAAATAAAAGTACATGTTCATGGAAATACTTTTATATATTTATCTATATTTACAGGTATTCCTCAACTTATGACCATAACCGAGCCTAAAATGTCCCCGTGTTTCTGGCAGCTGAAAGCCTCATGCTGCAAGTGCTCCGTGCAAAAGTCTTCCTTGGATTTTGGGACAAATCTTTTTATACTATCCCATAGTACCCAGAGAAGTCCCCTTGGCAGGCAGCAGTAGCTTGCATCCTTCCCTGCTGGTTTCCCTGTTGACTTTCTGAGGAAGCCAGCAGGGAAGATCCCAAATGGCAATCACATAATGCCAGGCAACTTGGCAACTTGTCATAAGTGAGAGTGGGTTGCCAAGTGCCATGTGACTGTGGCCATAGGTTTGGGCACAGTGAAATCTCTTTGTTCGTCACCGTCAGGGGTAGTCAACCTTGGCTCTTTTATGACTTGTGGACTTCAACTCCCAGAATTCCTGAGCCAGCATAGCTGGCTCAGGAATTCTGGGAGTTGAAGTCCATGAGTCATAAGGAGCCAAGGTTGACTACCCCTGTCACTGTTGTAATTTCAAACGATTGCTGAATGAACGATCCTTACACGAGGACTACCTGTACATATGAATTTCTTATGCTTTCCAAACCACTACCAAAGATATTTTTTCCTATGTCCTTTCAATCGAAACACCATTTCAACACCATTCATGCCACTGATACTTTCCTCTCTTATATCTAAAGACAAAAGTCCGAAGCCAGTACAAAATACAGGGCTTTTTAAGAACGTGAGGCGTTTTTGCTACTAGAAATTGAAATAATAATTTAGAAGAAAGAATAATTTAAAATTCTTATTATAAATCTATAGCATTTTTCTTTGAGTTGTTGAACAGATACAATCTATCAATTCACCATTATTCACCATTCTATAATTTCAATCATCAGTCTAATCTAATATAGAGAGAAACATAATTACATCTATTCTCATTTAAAAAAAGAAAACCACCAGAAACTGGTTAATTAAGAAGCTGAAACTCATGCAGTTACACATCCCATTTTTACTTGTGTTTTAGAAACTTTGCTGATAAGTCTTCCATGAGATCATAGTTCAAATACTTTTTCAGAGAACAACTGCCTTGATATCAGAATTGAAAAATTAACTTTGAAAGATATTATACGGGCATGCTAACGGAGTATAAAAATTGTACTTTGTATTCAAACACTTGATATTATTGTACCACCAAAATTGCTTCTGGCAGTAATACAAATGATGCTTAGCAAATTATTTATTCTATTAAATATCAATAAGATATATTATATGTCTTATAATAATAATAATACATAATAAAGTAAGAATATCCTTTGCCTGTAAATACTTTTACCTGTATTTTCTGGCATAGATGCCTGATCGGTGTTTCTCTCTTTTTTGAAGGAGATATTCCCAAACTGTAGTACTGAGGATACCACTTTCAACATAGCTAAGACATAAAACAAAATATAAAACAAAATAAGTCAAGAGAAAGAGAAAGATGGCTTTAAGAACTGACATAAACTATAGGAACGCCTGGACTTATATACAGACTACAAGCCAAACTAACTGAAAGGCTTCATATGGCAAATGGATGTATTCCTTAGGCAATGTATTTATCCCAGTTGCCATATATTCTGTAGCTGGACCAAAGTGAAAATATACAGAAAGATAATGTCAAGTGTGGGAAATCAGGAGTCCAGGGAGTTCAAATGAATATATAGGTTTATTGCAAACTTAAGCTCTCTACAAGAATCTGAACTACTAGCGGTCCAAGCAAACTGATGGTAAATAAGAGACAATTCAAGGTGGGCTGGACTTAGAACTCTTGTGGGGCAAAGGAACTTGAGACCGATGGCCTGTTTGACCCCTCTCTTAGGCTCATCCTGGTCATCTCCTACAGATAAGCACATAAAGAGCCCAGAGCATTGCACTGGCATACCTTTGGAGGAAGAATCAATATATATTCCCCTATACTCCCCTAGTTAATTAGTTATCTACAATCTTCAAAAGCTCATCTTTGGCACCTTAAGACAAAATTTATTTTTTAAATTAAGATGCTTAAGATGTTAAATTCAGCATTCAGAATGCCACATATTCTTAGGTATGATAATTTTATTCTATTTTAAAAAAATTCAAGTACAGGCAGTCCTCGACTTATGACCATAATTGAGCCCATCATTTATGTTACTAAGCAAGGCAGTTAAGGGAGTCACAACCCCTTTTACAGCCTTTTCTTTGCCCCAGTTGTTAAGTGAATTATGTGGTCATTAAGCAAATCTGACTTTCCCCATTGACCTTGTCAGAAGCCGGCTGGGAAGGTCGCAAGTGGTGATTGCGTGGTCCCTGGAAGCTGCAACCTTTATAAATACATGGCAGTTGCCAAAAGCCTGAATTTTGAACACATGATCATGGGGATGCCACAATGGCTGTTAAGTATGAGAAGCAGTCATACCTCAATTTTTGGAAGTCGAGAACTACCTATATATATTTAGGCATCAGAAAAGTAATAGCCTTTTAAAACATACCTAGTATTTCATCATGAGAAAAGCCCATGATATGCATGGCCTCCATTGTCTCCTGGAAGTTATCTTTATCTTGCTGGCCAGGAATGGGTATGTAGCCATTGGACAGAAATCGGTAGTTGTTGAACCCTTCAAGGAGCAAATCAGCTGCGATAGAGGGGAAAAAAGTGAGTTTTTTTCTCCACAAAAAACAACTGGTACTACTAGCTGTTGATTTACTCATGTTTAAATGAAGAGTAAATTATTCACTTCCTAGCAATCGTAAACAAATCCTCATTGTTGAAGTTTTCAAAAAAATCTTGAAGCACATTGTTTTAATATTAAACCAGGTTTACTGAATGAATTGGAATAAGCAAAAAATTTTCAAGAAAGCATTTCCTAGTAAATACATACATCTATTTATATATTCAAGCTGATGTAACTAAATATGTCACAGTACAATACCGTCAATTACAAGAATTGCATCACCATACAACCTTAAAGTTATTCAGATTGGCTATTCAAAGCAAACTGAAACAAAGAGAATGTCCTTTGGATATTCAAATTTGCATACAGTAGATTTGCATGTGGTGTTTGTGTGTATTACTCTCTCCATACCTTGAGAAGAGAAAAACTGTTCCTATTTTAAAGAGCAGCTGCCTGGTACTGTTCCCAGCTACAGTGTTTTTTTGTCTAGTGTGGGTACAGCAACTGCAGTCCTACTGTGTTAATTCAGCTTTAGTTTAAATGCTACATTAATCATCCAAACTCTATACATATTAACTCACCTTTCAAATGTTCACCAGCCCCGGCTAGAAGCTGATAGAAAATGTGAAAAGTCCGTTCATCTTTGGCTTGACGAACTGCACGTGATTTTTCTAATAAATCTGAGCCAGAGCAGTTAAGAATTTTAAGAGAAACTGTTTATCTTATCATGTAATTGAAACTATATGTTTTTGGGGGAAAAACCAGCACTGAATGGCTGTTCCTAATAATGGAACACAAATTGTCACAGTAGAATCAATAAAGTTGTCAAGGGTCCAATCATTTCTCCATCTATAACAACTTCCACAGACCAGTCTATTTAGACATCAAGCTATCTAGCCTTAATTATTTCTTTGGGCCTTAAAAATCTCCCGAGTAGAACAATGCTAACATATAAAAGACAAATTCCAACTGAAACTGACACCAAATTGTGAGCCAGACAGAAAAAATGCTGTCATAATTTAATAACTTGTAATACAGAGGGTGGCACATAACTGATTAAAAAAATAGGGCTAAATGCAACTGGTGAGCTTCCTGCCCATGATTCATAATTGTATCAAGTAAAACTAAATTAAAAATGTAATTCTTTTCTGTCAAGATGGCCTGTCCCATTTTTGGAGAGCAGCCCACCTATGGATAGGTACTCTCTAAAGTATTTTAATCAAGCTATCATTGGAGATTTCAAATTGGATCAGAGCTTATCACAATGCTGAAAAAAGGATACATGTTTCAATGTTGGCCCCAACAATATAGCCAGTAACATCAAAATTTATTCTGATGAACTTGCCCTGATGAGAAAAAAAACCAAAATTTAAAAAAACATTTTTAGAATATACAAATTATGTGCAATCCAAAATATTTTAAACTGAACATTTACTACTGTTAGGATAGCAAAAAAACCTAAACATGTATGTTAAACAAATATAATTTAACAATTATTACAATTAGATTCAGAGTACAAATCTTAATTTTAAATGATTGGGAAAAATCATTTAAAATTTAACCACTGCTGTATTCATTAAATTAATATGTTAATGCATTTTAGGATAGCACCATACTTCAATCTGATAAAAATTCATAATGCATTAGGGAACAATCCATCTCCTATTTAGTCCAAAAGTTAAAATCCTTACTAGTAGAGATTTCTTTTATGCATAAAGAAACTACCATCTGGATCATATTAAAGTATTCATTACAAAACTAATGCCAAAGCACTTCAAGTGATTGTGTTTACAACATCAGTGCAGATTTAAAGAAAAATGTAACAAGAAACAGATGCAGAAGTCCTTAACAGAAAAAAATGTTCACATAATTCATGTAATAGAATTGAACAAAACCAAATTCTGAACAAAGGACTTATAAAGTTAACAAATAAGCTACTTATGGAAGTTTGAAAAAGTGTGGCTGAGAGCTGCCCAAATTCTTGCCATACCATAATATCCTATTATTTTGATAGTTCTTGGATTACACCCTCTCTTGTTGAAAGTTTGTCTTTCTCTTTAAAATCCTGCTCAGAAAAATTTCAAACTATATTGTTTGAAATATACAACCATTTTAAGATTTTCATTTGCATGTGAAACACAGATTAAAATAACTGCAATTGAGATTTTTATTTTTTTTTTGCTCTTTCCCCTACTTTTGTGTAACTGAAAAATATTCTACGCATGACAGCTACATTCAAGTAGCCAATCCCCAAACCAAAACACACATCTGGATATTTTGTTCCATGGTTTTGTGCTCTTTTGGGCAGAAGTAGGTCAGAGCAAAAAGAAGAGTGGGGTCAAACAAATAAGAACCTTTATTAGGGATTACCTTGTATCAATAAGAGCAGCAAAACATACTTATTTGTTGCTATCATTGTGTATGCAGGCAATCAACCAGCAAATCTATCACATACTTGGTCCCTTCTGAGGCTAGGAGAAGCTCTGCAGGTCACTTTGAGGACTATTCTAGGCATCTGTCAGATAAAGTTCCACAGTTTTGCTCGGAGAGCTGGATGGGCATGTCCTATATGTATAGTTTTGTCTGGTTATCTGGAGAAAGTTTTTGCCTGTTAGTACTGATACAGGATACTCCAGGGGCTTTGAGTCCTACCATCTTTATTTTAGATCCATGTGCCTCCTGACTGTTTAAGACCTCTGGGGAGATTTGATAGGAGTCACCTGTTGGTGAATGTTTTCTTGTGGGAGAGGAAGATACTGCCTACTTTGCAAGAAAGTTATAGTTCTCTCTTCAAAAAGCCAACAGTGGATCCAACAAGACTGGACAATTTTCATCAATACCAACCTTTTGTTCCAACCAATGCACTTTTCAGGGGATGTACTGATTGTGTTTGGGGATGACCTCTGATGGCTCAGGACAACATAATCCTAGCCCTTCTTGGTATTTCACTATCCTTCAATGACATCAGTTCTGGTATCCTTCTAGAGCAGTTTATGAATTTGGGAATGGATGGCACAATGTTGCAGTGGTTCCCTCCTTCCTCTGAGACTAGTTACAACAGTTGATGGGAAAGGGCTCCCTCCTTTTTAACACTTATATGAGTTTTAAGGTTGCTTGACTCTGGAGATCTTCTATCTTTAACTGAAGATGCAGTACAACTTCCCCAGACAGAGTTAGCACATGGCACCTGCTCAAGGAGTATGTGGCAGTTGTGGTCAGAAAGAACTTTGAATAAATCAATTTTTTGCATCAGTTGTACCCATTCCTGCATTAGAAGAGTCTGCTCACAATCTCTCATGTCTTAATAATTTCCTGGTTGGACTGCTGCTATAGATTTTACATGAGTCTATCTTTAAAAAGCATTCAGAAGCTGCAGCTGGCATGGAATGCAGTAGCGCATGCAATTTTTGGTACCTCAAGATACACCCAAGCAATATTATGGTTGTATGAGTTGCATGGCTTCCAGTAGGCTTCAAAGTATAATTCAAACTGTTGATTGCTACGTTTAAAAGCATGCTTGGCACAAGGCCAGTGCTTATGTCTTATTATACTGTCCATGTATTGTCTATTAAACATCAATTATATCCTATGCAACCCACTCCATACTGTATGTTCAGCCATCCATGGATAACTATAAATTTGTACTTCAGCTTTCTAAAATTCATACATATAGATATGAAGGCTTTGGATAAAAGTTTTTAATCACTTTTTCTCTTCCAAAACATACCCATCCACACCTTTAACAGCTTAATTTATTTTTCCCCAGGCCTCCAAATCTATACACCAATTCAAAGAAGATTGATGATCTAGATTTTAATTGGTACCTATAAGCACTTAACAACAGGGAATGAGTGAATGGAAAATCCAGACAATAGTCTAGACTCTAGAGTTGTATATATAAATCAAAATAATTTAGCTGCATATAAAATTGATCAGTAGAAACACCTGAGTTTCAAAATTAATGCTAATTTCAGCAATTTCATCATAAAAAATTATCTATGAATAATGAATTAATAATTAAATAATTAAAACCCATACTTACAAAGCGGGAGGAATTATCATTTTTCACAGTTTTCGCATTTCCAAAGGATTCCAGAATAGGATTGGCTTGTAGAAGCTGACGCTCTAGTTCACCCTGAAACATCCACAGAAATATGAAGTTATGTCAACCTAATTTAAAAGCAATAGAGATCCCCAGTGCAATTTTTAGTTATTCTGACTCTATCTTTCTCTTCAGTACACTATCTTCAGAAATGACTTAATGTTGTTCAGCTGAGATTGATGAGCTATAAAAAATAAAGGTTGTTAAAGAATGCCATTGCTACAAAAAATAGTAAACATTCATCAAAGTTAGGATTCATGATTAAACAGCAACTGTCAATTTACACATAAAATGCATTTAATTAATGTATGCCTTGTTCTCCCACTGCTATCACTGCCCTCAGAAGTTTTATCTGATATTTATCGTATCAGTAGCTTGATGTAAATCAGAGGTATGCAGAGATAAAGGAAAATACAAAGTGTGAATTTAATATTTTACTTCACAAATGCATAAAGCAGTATAATCAGCAATTCCTGCTGTTAAAGAAAGATTTCTGCTTTCATATCTAATAAGCCACTCTAACCCTATATTACTGGTTTGGGTTTAAATGATCAGCTTTGTTGAATACAGAAGTCCATCTCTTGCTCAAGTATTATTCTCTAGTTAGAGTTAAGAATTTGCCAGTTTTGTAAGCTGATTTTAAAATTTTCAACCTCAGAAAAAGTATCTGAATTATCAGACAATTTAGATCAGAGGTCTCCATAGTTCTCAATTCATGGCAGCCTTGCTGCCTCAGTCATTTTTTAGAGTGCCCCTAGCTCAAAACTATGAACTACATCAAACTACCGGTTTGCATGATGTTGGACAGATGCTGATATCACTGTTTCCCACTTCAAAATTTAAAATATGTTGTTGTGCCTCTCTGAGGCAACACAGCATATAACTTGGGAGTTAGGAAAATATCTTATGCCATCATAGCCCATCTTAACATTTGTGTGTATCCATTAGCCCACTGAGGAGAGAAAGTGCTCGAAGATATTTCAATTTTGTATGGAACTGTAAGGTGTCGATGAAGTGGAATGAATGATAAATAAAACATAATTGCAAAATGCAAGCTCGAATATATCTGGGGTTTTTTTTCAGACAATCTTATTTACAAAACACATCAATTTTAGAAATGTTCCATATGAGATTTTATTCATAAGATTCGTGTCAACTGCTTCCAAATGCCCTTGAATATTTTGTAATAAATTTTGTCTGATCATAGCTACAGAGACCTTAAAGAGTTTACTTACTATATTTTATTTCTGTGCAAAAAATTCTAAAGTGTTTTTTTTTATTTTGTTACTATGCTCTGAGAGCTTAAGGGAAGGTGGATATAATATTCTGTTACCTACTATATATCCCTTCCTGTAATCACTGAATACCAGGACTTGGATAGCTCCTAAAACTAATGCATGGTATATAGTACATCTAAAGTGCGAAGATCTGTAAGTTCAATTCCCCTTAGAGCAGGGGTGTCAAACTGCCGGCCCACGGACCGAACATGTCACGCGGAAGCCGGCAATGGCAAAACAGTCCCAATACATCGTGTGATGTCATGTGACGTTGCGAGTTTGACATGTCTGCCTTAGAGTGTTTGAATCCTTAGAATAGCATCTGGCTATCTATCTGATGAAGCCCAAAAAGACAAAACCAGTTGTGCCATGCATCCTAGTGATCAAAGTAAATGAATTCCTTCTCAGCCACTTAAACTCACTGGACTTCATTCACTGGAATGGAAGTAATTTCAACATTCACATTTATGGAGCTTAAGAACGTTTAACATTCAACAGACTGTGCTGTTTATAAATAGCAATATAGTAAAAATGTGTAACTTTGAAGTGATCCGTCTTAATTTTTACTAGGTTTTCAAGCATCTTTTAGTGCAATTTATATGATGCCTTTCTTGTTTTGCTTGAACACTTAAGGCAGCATACATATTAAAACAAACTAAAAAAAAACCCTCACACAAGTAATAAAACTTGAAAAAAATGTATTTGTCAAGATTGACAAAATCTTATCATTAAAAAACCCCCTTCCAATAACAAACTCGTTATTTCATTTAGAAATTTAATTCTGTGCAGCTTACTGCTAGCTCTAGATTTTTCACAAAGTCTGAAAAAAAAAATATTCTGGGTGGAATCAAGTCCTAACCAGACAAGTTTGTTCATATGAAAATTTAGAGACTCAGCTGCAAAAAAAGGTCTAGTTTAATAAACGGAAACCATTTTCAATGTTTTACAAACAATATAAATTTTAACGGTGAATATGGATGCACTACAAGAGTCTAAGGTATCGGTCAAGAATACGAAAGATCTTAGTTTGGATAATTCCAAATATCTAAAAAGTCCCATCAGACTTTATTTGTAAAAGAAACACATTTGCCCCTCTAGATTCTTAAGTATAAAGTTACAATTTTATCTATTTATGATTTACTCTATGAAATGATTCCTTGAAATGCATGGAATTACTTAAATATTCATTAAAATATGTTTGTATTTAATTTCTACTAACAGGGCCTCATGATGTCCAGCATATTTTCTTAAGCCATTAAATATCACAGACCCATTTGTGAAGTATTCTATTCTGTAATATTTCAAAGAAGCTTTAAACTGAAGGCAAGATTTACAATAATTTGCATATAAATTCAAGATGATTTTGAAAAAGGCATCCAAAGTAATGTGAAGGTGTGACAACATGCAATCTATTCATGCAAATCAATTATGTAATGACAGATTAAGAAGAAAGGTAGTGCCCTCAGCATCCCTGTGATTTGGCTCATTGTGAGTCAGCAAGGTGACAAACTACAAGAACTATGTGCTACTCACATACAATGGGGATCCACTCTGCAGTTAAAAAATGACAATGAAACAATGTTAATAGTTATGAATTTATGAAATCACCAGAAACACAGTGGGATTACAATCAAAGGTCTTAATATTTATTAATTTAATACATCTTCTTTTCCTAATAAAGAAACTTGGCTCCTACAGGATAATTCATATATCATTTTCTTAGAACTGAAACATAGTTGTACTCTCAGATTTATTAAATCAGCCTAATTATTACAACAGCAATCTTGAGAAATATAAATGCATTGCCCGAGTGCCATACAGTTAATATCCATCAATTTGGCTTTGCTTCTGTGCCAGTACTAGGCAATCTCAATGCCCTGCAGATGTGAGGCATTTTTAACAAGACCACTGGGAAGAAATGTAGGAATGTTTGGAAGGCACCAGGCTGCTCTATGCTCCTAATGGTTTTTGCTGCCTATTGACAGTTAATCTACATCTACCATAATGATTATATATAATGATTTCCACACCTCCACATGAGTTTTGCAAAAGAATTATAAAATAAAAATTATTGCTCCTGTGTGGTTGTGCGCGCGTGTGCGCACGCACGTGTGCATATGAATGAAGTGGGCAGAAATAATACTAGAGATAATTGACTTTGGGTCACATATTGGATTAAAAAGTGCACTAATTTATCACCTAGCAAATCATGGACCACTCCATCTTCTACTACTTAGCACTCTAGTATTAAGCCTGTTTGCTTTTCCATTACATCAGCACAACAGCTGATTAGAAAATAAGAAATATTGGGAAATTCATAACTCCCTACTTTTCAAATAACTTGAGAAATATGGCCATAAGGCTATTTTGTCTTTGTTTCTGTATTAATCCACAATAAAATTTCACCATTAGTTGCCTGCCTGTACTACCTTTATACAGCGTGTTGAGAAAAATAGACATTTACCTCGTGCTTCACCAACTTAGCTGATTGTTGCAAACAAATAAATTCACATATTAACAAATATAACCTTTTCTCCTCTCCACCCATTTCTATGTTTCATTCACATTTACGTTATTTTATGATGCTTTTATTCAAACTTCCCCATGAATTAATATTAAAGCGGAAAGAGCTAATCTTGATAGATATATCTTTTATCGCACTGGGATGGATGGACACACACATGCATGAGTAGGCAATACCCAAACAATGCATTTGAGCCCTGAGGCTCCATCAGTGCCGGTCAAACTGCACATTATCTGACCCTGGAGTTGTGTTCTGTCTCCAACCTCAACAATGTTCCCAAATTCAGTACAACTTTTCAGCCAGTCATTTCCAACCAAACCCACCTCACAAGATTCTTGTTATAGGAAAATAGAAGGTAGGACCATTATGTACACATATCACTTTGAGATGACCAAACATAAAGGCATGATAAAACTAAACAATCAGTCTGTATATCTGTATCTATGGGAGGAAAAAACTCTCAAGATATACTCAAGTCCTACATCTGGGTAATGAGAGATTAAAAAAATGATTTTATGACCTTCTCATATATGCATCATTTTGCATTAGATTTTTCTCTCACAGAATACAAACAGAAGCATTTAAAATCTGAGAAAACTCTTCAAATTGGCTGCCATGATTCCCAGTTTGTTATGTCATGCAAACTGCAGAATCCTAGGATCTTGTAAAAATGCTGAAAAGTTGATAAAATTTGAAGAAAAGAAGCAACTTCTAAAAGGCTTTTAAGTTTTCTTTAATTCCCAGCTACATAATTACAACTTATGTTGTAATTGATATAATGGAGTGATGACTTAAGATATGTAACACAGGATCACTTCAGATCTGCTTCTGTATATCATAAGAAACCTTTTGCTAATAGAAAAATAATCTGAAGACATTTTAATAATCAGGAGAATACCGGCATGGGATAGTGGCCTTGAAAAGAAAAAAATATTTCAATAATATATAAAGGTACTGTAACTAGTTTTATACATGCAAGCTCTGATTAAAAATTCACAACATCAAGAAGATGTACTGAATTTCACAGAAATTTTATTATATCAGCTTTCCCAGCAGCACCTTCAATAAGGCAAGTGCCTGCAAATTATTCCCCAAATTTAAATGACCAATATTTCAACCACAGTTTTATATGAAATGGTTTAGAGCTGACATTTTAACAGATTATCATACTTATTTGCAATCTTTAATAAAAACAGATAATTAAACAT